CAATGTGCATTCAGGAAGACACTCGTCATCTCTTGATACATAACGCACGAGGGACATAGTATATATCATGCCACACCTACTCGACGGACACTTTGTGGGTAACGTAACATCGTGTAATAGTCATTTTCACGGATTGCAATTGATTACCACGACAAATCGCTCTTCAGCGTTATCCGTATGGTCCGTCTTTTACAAGGTTATCGATAAAACATGAAAAGCATAACACGGTAGAAGCATGCCTTTATAATTCTTTGGATTAACAATGATAATGTCTAAGATTTATAAATACTCATTGCTCCAAACATATCTACTGATTATTTCGCATTAAAGCAATTACTAAACTGCACATCCTTCGAGAGTATCTTTGCGACACGATCCTTTGACATTCTCTCACAACAAAACACGGTCTTCTACAATCGAATGAACTCGACCTTTGCTAGCTTGTTTAGTACTTGAAATCGAATGACGATAAATCCTTCCTTTCATTTTTTTTCTTCCATATCTTTCCTACCATTTCATGTCGCGAAAATCAATGTAAAAATACGCTTGAAATCGTTAAGGCTCGAAAAAATAGAACGATCTTCTTCCAATAGAAGTGACCCATATTCGATCGTAGAAAACGAGCTTTCGAGTACGCCCTTGAGTTGGGCGCGAGCTCTTATTCGAAGACAGACGAATGGATATAAGAAGACGAGCTAGAGACAAGTTTGTGTGGTGAATACGTTCAATGTCGTCGTTGGATGAAGAAAAAGAAAAAAAAATGAATACGAGACAGAGAGAGAGAGAGAGAGAGAGAGAGAGAGAGAGAGAGAGAGAGAGAAAGCTACTTGTGATTCGTTAGAAATATCGATAGAAGGTGTGGATTTGTTCTTATAACTTTTAACCTACTTTCTTGACCTCCAAATTTGTTTATAAATCATCATCTGTAAAAGTCTTTCATAAAAAGATAACAATATATATATATATATATGTATATATATATGTGTGTGTGTGTGTGTGTGTGTACCAGAATGTTTTCCATCAACAGAAGGAAAACGAGAAGCCAAGTGATGTAATCTCTTTGTTGATAATCGTAGCGTTTTATCGTTAATGAATTTATCATAAAAGCTTGCTACGGTATAATCGACGACTAATGGAAGTTTATTCGAGGGCACAGATGCATATATATATATATATATATATATATATATATATATATATAAGTATATATATATTTATGAACGATGAAGTGGCGTGTATGCATTGGACCGTAAAATTTCACGATGAGTAGAAATCCTTGCGGCGGTCTGACTGATCCGATACTTTACTACTGGCTAGTCAGTATTCAGTTTATAGTAAAGAGAAACAGAAAAAGATAGAAAAGAAGAGAGAAGACACGAGTTCCGACAGGGTTGGGTAATAAAAGAGACGACGTTGAGTAGACCGGAGACAAAGACGTATATTAGGATGAAAGAAGATAGAAAGAAAGAAAAAGAGAGAGAAAGAACGAGAAAGAGAGAGAGAGAGTTTGCTAACCTGAGGATGAAAGGCGTGCGTCGTTGCGCCGAGAGTGTTGGCCTCTGAGCGCAGAGCGGTGGGGGTGAGATTGGTGGTGGCTGCCTGCAGGTTCCTAGGATTCATGGCGATCTCCGGACTGGGATGAATCTTCCTGATGCCCTGGGGTCCTCCGGTGGGACCCATCGTCGGAGCCTTCACCATCCTTGGCCACACCCCCGGTACGGCGGCACCCTCTCGCAAGCTCACGCTCTCTCGCACGCTTTTCTACACGTTCACGCACACTGACCCGGCCTATCGATCTGCTCTTTTTTATTCCACTCTCTTTCTCTTTCTCTATCTTTATCTCGATTCTTGGTAAAGAGAGAAAGAGAAATAAGAGAGAGAGAAAGAGAGTGAGAGAAAGAGAAAGAGAGAGAAAGAAATAGAGAGAGAGAGAGAGAGAATGAAAGAAAGAGAGAAAGAGAAAGGAGTTGAGAAAAGGACAGCGTCTTTGCTGGACCAAAGATGAAAAAAGAGAAAGAGAGAGAGAAAGAGTACACGGTTCGGTCAGCAGCCAGCAGCGAAGCCGACGTCGTCGTCGTTATTCATCGTCATCGTCATCGTCGTCCTCGTTGCCGTCGTCCTCGTCGTTGTCGTTGTCGTCGTGGTCGTCGTCGTTGTCGTTCCTCGAGGATCCTCGCGTTTTTTTCGTGCCTTCTCCTCTCCGATCCTCCTTCCACGTTAGAAAGAAGAAAGGAAGGAAGGAAGGAAAGAAGAAAGAAAGAAAGGACGACGTCGTCGGCGTCACGACGCTGTCGCGGACACGACCGAGGCGAGGCGACGCGCCGCGCCGCGCCGCGCCCGACGAGAGATGCGAAGAGTCGACGCTCGACCGTGCGACTGAGATGGCTTGCGTCGAGGGTGGATATAAATTGATACGATGGAACGAGAGACTGAGAGAGGGTGAGACTCGTTCGGTCTCTCATTCTCTCTCTCTCTCTCTCTTGATATAGCTACAGAGTGGGGATAGATCGCCAGGAAAATCAGAAGGGTGGGGGATGAGTTACGCGGGATTCACCTCTGAGTATATCTCCCTCTTTCAACCCTCTCTCCCTCTCTCTTCCCCTTTCCCCCTTCACTCTCCTTTATCTCTCATGTTCTCGCTCTCGTTCATCTCAGTGCTGAAGGCGGGCAAGCGTACTTCATCTGCTCGTCTACTTCATTCTCTCTCTCTTTTTCACTCTGTTTCTCTCTCTTTCTCTCTCTCTCTCTCTCTTTCTTTCTCTCTCTCTCTCTCTCTCTCCCTCTTTCTCCATCTATGCAAACTTAAGAGTTACGAAGTTGCATTAAGAGAACGAGCAACTTCTAGGATATTTTACTTCTATAATAATTTGAATGATGATCATCACGTTTCCACAATTTGATATCTTCAATGTTTTGATCTTTAACAGATCTGATACGAGACTATAAGTATTTTAATTGTTAAAATCGAGAAATGATCGTCAATGATAAAGGGTAAATGTATCTCGAATTTATTGAATGTGAAAGAGATGATAGTTCTTTGAAATAATGCAAGAAAAGAATTACCATGCATTAACGATGCTAAAGTTTATTATTGTTTGTTGCGCCACGTGTACGCAATTACTGTGAAGAGCTGGAAGGATGCTAGTCGTCAGTCTTGTTAGGGTCAGAGCGATGGCGCCGCGACGCTCCTTGGCGCCTCTGTCCCTCCACCCGTTTCACTTATCTTTTTTATCGACGTAACTGTTAATCAAATAGAAAGAAATACATTGAGATGATTAGAGATCATAGAGATCCGATCAATCGATTTTTATGATTTCAAATCGAACGAAGATTAAATGATATCATCTTAAGAAGTAAAATAATGACCTCCTTTGTATCAATTTCTGCTTTATCAACTCTTGAAAAATTAATGAATCTTATAATATATTTTAGAATAAAATGCGAAATTATAATAATATATTACATGATAAAAAAAGAGAAAGAAAGAGAACAAAATGAAATACATCAATTAAAAATTAACAAAAGCTTTTTAAAGACAATATGACCTTGTGTTAATTATACTTATAACTTCCCTATCGATATATAATATATAAATAGTTTCTTCGATAAGGGTGCGAGAAACGAAAGCGTATAGCTATTTTATCATTCAACTGAAAAATGTATATTCTGTGGTCTGTGAATTTATAATATAACGCATATCGTAAAATAATTTTGGTGAATTGATTGAATAATTCTTTCAATTCTTAGAAAATGTTCTTTGCAATTTTTCTATGTGATATTTTAAATCTTAACTTAATTAAATAATGCAAAAATTATATGAAAAATATTTTTAAAAATTAACGAAAATTTAATGTGAGTAATTTTATTTTTAAATGCTTTCAAATGCAATTATAAAAGAATATTAATTCATTTTACCAAAGGAGATAAAATTTTTATAAGAGTAACGATGGTTGTATACAACAGGCGCACCCTATACGAATGCAACTGAGAGTACTTAGAGAAACTACTTTACCGATATTTATTTCCACATAGGATAAAACATCCTTTCAAAGAAGCTTAATTAATTAATAATTTACTTTATTATATTTATGATGATACGATTAACGTACCCATTATTTTTTACTTTATCCACGATAAGTTATAAAGATTGATATTTCCCAAGTATATTGTAATATCATTTAACATTCTACGATAAAAAGTAAAGAGATTATTTATGATCAATAAAAAAACTCTATTCATGAATAAATGAAATTTCAAAAAGATTATTTTCAAATATCTTTCAGTTTACATACTAATATATTCTATTTGCAATGGAAGACACCGTTTTTCCTTTTACAATGTGATAGATGTTATCGTTAAACTGTTATACATATCTCGATAGCACTCATCCTCGTGAAATGCTAAAAAGAGCGTTAATGTATAATACATATCATTTTATGAGGAACATCTCACGAATTTCTAACTTTAGAGACGATGGAATATAAACTAACTTAAAGCTGACTTAAATTCTTGTTTGTATAAATAAGACGCAAAGCTAAAGAATATATATATATATATATATTCCTTTTTAAATTCTATTTTCAGTTGGACGACTCCTTTGAATAACTGTCTCTCTCTTTCTCTTTCTCTCTCTCTCTCTCTCTCTCTCTCTTTCTCTTTCTCTCTCTCTCTCTCTCTCTCTCTCTTTCTCTTTCGAAAAAATATATATATATAAAATTAAAATAGTTTCCTTAATGGAAAAAAGAAGAAAGAAGTAATATAGAGAACGTGTGGATGGTTTGGCGGAATGCGTGGTTGTTCGTACAAATAAACATGCTTGAATTTATAGAACTGCTAACCACGTCCGCGAGACGTAGTTTACTCCTTCCGACGGAACTATACCTTTGGACCGAAACGTCTCAGTATAAATTCTAGAGGCACATAGTGAACAAGCTTAACGATTACCAAAGTGACGGTGAACTTTTAATCATTAATTATTAAGAAATGAATCGATTTATATGTTTTATATTAATCTCTACATTTTAAGTATTTTATTTATTGATTTTTATTAATTCATTACACCGAAAATGTTTATTTAATATAGTAGCAAATAATAATAGCGTGGATTATGCCTGCAGGATGTACATACCGTAAAGTTATTTTCAGTTTCATGCGAGTCGGTATCACCGCAAAAACTTTTGGCGTTTCAATTTACTTAAGTCTTAACTAACCATAGATAACTGACAATGAAAGTTGACCTTTCTTTTTCTCTTTCAACTTCTAACTTAATTCATTTCATTTTGTATTATAACGATAATGTGTTCAAGAATTAACGTCGCTTCTATACTGGTTTCAGTGTTATAATCATACCGTCGATCATGTAATTAAACTCGCTCTCCTCATTAACATGCACCGTCGCTTTGGTTAATAACGTGATTAAGTAAAATCATTTATTCGAAAAAAGGGTGTTTACGTAGGGGGTACAGAAAATAAAAGAAAAAAAAACAAGAGAAATAGGGATTTGGATTAAGTACATCGTGATCGACATCAAGAGATTTTCGAAAGTACTATTTTCGCATTACTAAAGTAACGATAGAAAAATAGCTCAGTGCTAATCCACGTACGTTAATACCATCATTTATCGTCTTAAGATCCTCGAAAAAGAACGATCGTGACGTAAAGTTGCTATCGAATGGACCGAGTGGACGATTAAAGAAGCAACCTGTGGCTATGTTTCGTTGTAGAATTTTATCTGTGTTAGGAGCTGAGTAGGAAATCGGTGCTTTTCATTGTACATGTGTTGACGAACGTGCTCCTAACGTAATTCAGGTATATCGTGCGGTCTATTGCAAGCGTTCGATAAATAGGATGTAATCGTATCATTTAATGATCAAATCAAAACAAGAGAGGGAGAGAGAGAGAGAGAGAGAGAGACAGGAAGGAGGGAAGAGATCATTAACGAGAAGCAAAGCGGTAATTACGCACGTTTCGAGAGCCAGTTTGCATTATCGATGAATCACTCGATAATTCTCAGCTATTTGAAATCATTCGATTGTAAATCTTCTATTCGAAAGAAAAAGGCGAATGCCAGAGGTAGATAAAAAATTTGGAGGACTAAAAATATCAATCATAGCAACGCAAAGCGTCGCGTAAAATATTCGTAGAAATTCAAGAACGGCAGAGAATCGCTGGGAGAAAAAAGTTCGGTCATCCCTCATCTTGACGGAAAAATGTTTTTCTTGCCTTACTTGCTCGCTTTCGCATAACTTTCTTTATCATCGTGAATTGCGTGCCATGCGATCGAAGAAAATTCAAGTGAGAGGATGAGGAAAGTGGATGATGAAAGATGGAACGATCGGGTGATACTTAACGTCGGTGGAATACGTCACGAGACATATAAAGCGACCTTGAAGAAAATACCGGCTACGAGATTGTCACGACTCACCGAGGCATCGGTAAATTACGATCCGATATTGAACGAATATTTCTACGACAGGCATCCCGGTGTCTTCGCACAGGTTCTCAATTACTATCGTACAGGCAAGCTGCACTATCCCACGGATGTTTGCGGTCCTCTTTTTGAAGAAGAACTTGATTTCTGGGGTCTTGATTCGAATCAGGTTAGTTTGAGAAATTTTAACAAGTTGAAATCTATATCAATCCTAGACAATCAACGAGTTCTCAAAGGGTATAAAATGAACACAAATTATTTGAACAGACGTACTTATTTTCAAGAGCGTTGTCTTTGGTCACGTAGTTTCAAAGTTTCGAACTCGATAATTCTTTTGTTTTTTAAATTAACAAGTTTACAAAACTAACACAATTATTACATTAATAAAAATCTATTAAAATGTCAAGTTAATTTTTTAAAGGTTGAACCTTGCTGCTGGAGTACTTATAGTATTCATAGAGATACACAAGCAACATTGGCCATATTGGATAAATTAGACATCGAAGGCGAAAAGCTTAGCGACGAGGAAATTTCTCGTCTCTTTGGTTACGAGGAGGAATATAATCGTGGAACATTGACAAAGTGGCAACGATTACGTCCGAGAATCTGGGCTCTCTTCGACGAGCCTTACTCGTCGAGGTCGGCAAAGTGCATCGCCTGCATTTCGATCTTCTTCATCTGTCTCTCGGTTCTCTGCTTTTGCTTAAAGAGCCATCCTAGTAATCTACCACAAATTAGAACAGATGATTCTCCTTCTAACTACTCTGTAGAATTCACTCAGCATTACGAGAATGAAATCGGTCGACCACATAGAGCATTTTATTACATTGAACACGCTTGTAATGCTTGGTTCACATTCGAGATAACACTTCGATGCTTGGTAAGTATGAATATCTTATTTGAATTTGATATGAAAGGAAGTCTTTGAAATTTCGAACGATTTACTATACTTCAAATTCCTACGTAAAATTTATCTCGAGGGAAGACGAAAGGAAAGGATTCTATTGTAGGTCAGTCCAAGCCTAAAGCGATTCGCTGTGTCGCCGGTGAACGCTATCGATTTAGCGGCAACGTTCAGCTTCTACACGGAATTCTTGACGGAGTCTAGCCTGTATCTTGAGGTCCTCTCGATAGCAAGAGTACTTCGACTCTTTAAATTGACCAGACATTCACCTGGCTTGAGAATCCTCATACATACTTTCAAAGCATCCGCGAAAGAGCTCGCATTGTTGGTTTTCTTCCTTGCTTTGGGCATAGTTCTCTTCGCTAGTCTTATTTTTTATGCCGAACGACTTCAAGTAAGTACCTAAAAAAAATTAAACAATTTATTTAATTCCTGTCATAAGAAGAAGGATGATTTTCCTCGAAAGTAAGGATATTAATTAAAACGATGAAAGATTTTATCTTTACATCGGACAAAGGATCGAGATATCAAACGGACCGTCTAAAATGAAGGCTTCCCTCATAACGTCAAAGGGAGTGACAAAGAAAATGGGCTTGACTTTTCTCCCGGTGAAAAATTCATAAGAACATGAATCATGAAAAGAAGCCACGTTCGTGAAAAAAGGAGCCCACCTTGGAGATACGCCTGTATTCTTTCTTTCTTTTCTTCTTTCTCAATACACTATAAGATATGTGCTCGAATGGTCACGTTTATCACGTACCTTCATTACTTGCGTTCGAACGAACGTCTACGCATGAATCATTGAACCAATTCGTTAAATAGCAAGCATCATTCTAATTAAAGTTAAAGGCCGTACTCTCTCGTTTTCGGTGAAAAGAAAAACTTCTTTTCCCTGATGAATAGGGAAACTCACTTTACCAAAGCTCAAAACATCTTCTATCTATAGACGTAGCCGTGTATTACACATAATATTACATATGTCTAAACCAATACGAAAATATTTCAGTTTTGTTGGTTTACGTTTACGTTCAATACACACAACTGAAAATAGTTTTCTTCGTTAAGCTTATACGTGCTAATTTAAATTTCTATTCTTTTATACCAGACTTGTTTTTTCTTTTTTTTATATTTTTTTCTTTTCCCTCCTCTTTTGTTAATATTTCCTTTTCTCCGTAAACGAGCGCGTTGAATGATATCAAGAATTCCAGTAGGTTGCTCTTTTCAGGAAAATCCCAACAACGACTTTGACAGTATACCACGAGGACTTTGGTGGGCTCTAGTCACCATGACGACCGTCGGTTACGGCGACATGACGCCGAAAACCTTTCCAGGGATGTTCATAGGCGGACTGTGCGCCTTGACCGGCGTTCTTGCTATCGCACTTCCGGTTCCCGTCATCGTCAGCAACTTCTCTATGTTCTACTCCCACACTCAGGTTTGAGCATGACTCTCTTCACGTTCCTTTCTTCGAAAACTCTTCGAAAGCTTTCCTTTCATTTACTGTTTTCGAAGTTTACTCATCCGATAAAATTTTATCTTTTATTTTCTTTTTTACTCTGATTGCACATAGTTCTATGAAAATATAACTATGACGTGTGCTCAGCACTTCGATTCACCTTTCGATATTTTGCTTTTGATCGAATATTTTTCAGGCACGTAGCAAATTGCCAAAACAGAGACGAAGAGTACTCCCAGCAGAATTTCCAAGACGTGGAAGATCGTCGATGCATCAAAATCGTTTCGATTCTCAGGGACATTTGTTCTTGAACGCTTCACCTTACAGATCGCTGACACCTCTCATGACTCGACAACCTATGACTAGATTACACAGCGTCCTACAACTCCAGGTGCTTTTATTACGATGGTTTTAACGCATCGAGTCCCAACGTTAATTGCTTTCTCAATATTATCCACTTTCCAATCCTTCCCTCTATAACGGCGTCTCGAGTAAGCAAAGAATTTCAACGTAATGAAATTCATTCGAGCATTCGTCGAGTTAAAGAATAACTTTCTACGGGTGATTATATCCGAAGAAGTACGACTTCTTGACAGTAGAGAGCTATGCAAATGACGGAGTTCCTCTCTTGAGAGTTGATAAACGAAATAGATTCAAAGGGACGATTAGCATCAGAGACATAGTGAGAGAGAAAGAGAGAGAGAGAAAGAAAAAAAGAGAAAGAAAGACAGAGAGAGAGAGAGAAAAAGAGGAAGTAACCTTTTAGAAACTCCTGAGCCTCTTGCGGTTAGTTGCGTATATTTCAACTCCATTCATGAAGTTTTTGCCTTTTTTATATATATATATTTTTTGATGGCATTAAATTACAAATTTCGAGACATCCTAAATCATTTGAGGAGTAAATGATTAAAGTAATTATGATAAACCTCGTCAAAGCGAATTCACACGTTCCTCGTTTTACCTCTTTTATTATCTTGTCTGGTGTATATTAGAGGACTAGAGAAATTCACAAAGCGAAAAGAACGACATAGCAATTAGTCAGTTCTAAAATAGCTTCATATCGCTCTTTCTCTCGTTTTCTCCATTCTACAAATTTCTAAGCAAATTTGTATCAACGTACACTTACTCTTTTACAAGCCCGACCTAGTTTTGCAAATTTTGCAATGTCGTAACAAAACGCGTTCTCGCTTTTATCCTGACCAACAAACCAATAAAATCAAATCTTCCTTTTATCGTTTGTCTTATTAATAATTTCGTTTAATCGAGCAACGGCATAAGATTTTTCTTGGAATGTACTTGGAATTTTGAATTACGTTTTATCCATTGTACTGATTCCTCGAATAAACTAACTTTAGCAATCTATTTTCGACAAGTCGAGATTTAAAGCTCTCAATGCTGATATCTCGAAAAAGCCGGCGGAAACTCGGCCGGTATGCTCCCGTGATTCGGTTATGTAAATTTTCGACTCAAAATATGCTGACATTTGAAACGTCGAACTCGTTTCAGTGCGTTATTAAAGGAAACTATATGATATGCTTTCGGCCTAAATTTCTTTGAATAAGATACTAATAGGAAAAAATATCTTCATGAATCGAATCTATTTCATACAAACTATACAAACTAAAAAAAGAACTCAAAAAATGTTATATTTCAAAGATTCGCGGAAAGATTACTTGAAAAAAAAAAGGTTCAAAAATTGAACAAATAACTCAAGGTGGTTGAACGTCAACCGATAGTCCATAGAATTTATATTCTGCTTACAGCCGAATATCGTGATAAATCTAGCGGAAATCGAACATCGTGCGCGCACCACTTCGCCCAGTCAAGAATCCGAAGGAACTAGCGTATCTGACTGCCGAGATAGCGATCTACCTCAAGATGATAAGATGGAAGAGCAACGTGTCGCCGAAGTCGTTCATCCAGAAGAGGAAACGAATCATCGAAAAGAGAGACAACGTTCTCAAAACATTCTCCATTATATTTTGTGATAAAAATATATTGTTTTTTTTAATACCATTATATATTATTCTAACAAAAATAAAAAGAAAAGAAAAAAAAGAAAAGTTGCAACGATCAACGATAAAAACATTTAAGAGACAAAGAGAGAAGATGAAAGAAAAATCAATGAGAATGAACAAAAAGAAAAGTGCGTTGATCGAGCAACGATCATGTTTCATCGTAAAGTCGATCGACCAATTCGAAGCCATTAAAAGAGTCCAGTAGCGTATCAACGATAATACCTTGCAAAACGTGGAAAACCGTGGAACTCTTTGACGCAAGAGGTTTCACGGCGCAAGCGTAAGCCATCGACCGCTAGAACGGTTTATTCAGGCTCTGTGGGATCTCCCCACTTTTCTCTACTCAGTATAGACACGCACAGACGTTGATACATTACATGCATAAAGTGAAGAAAAGAAAGAGATAGAGAGATAGAGATAGATAGATAGATAGATAAGTAGGTAGATAAAGAGAGAGAGAGAGAGAGAGAGAGAGAGAGAGAGAGAGAGAGACGAATGATGATATGCACCCTCGGGACATACCTTTGAATCGTTCTTGACGCGACAAGGTAAATAAGTAAACGTCTCTGTGTACGCAAGTGTAGTTTTCGAGATTCCGCTCCCTTCTTCTCTCTCTCCTTCTCTTAATATTTATTTTTTTGTTTTTTTTTTTATTTTGTCTACACTTCATTGTAATATTCTAATATTCTTTGTCTCAAGGAATATCTCTCTCTTGAAGAAAAAAAAAATTCTATTCAGATAGTATCTTCCTCTTCAGACACTTCTCCTCTGAACTGTCAAGCTAACGAGATTGATTAGGTTGTTACAAGTACTCTGGAATGTCGAGAGAAGAGAAGAGATGCACTGATAAAAGAACAAAAGAGTCCGCGTGTCCGCTTGTTTCTGCGGGAAAACGCGACTGCTAGAGCGCAATGTGCGCGCGCATGAACTTTATCTTTTTCACTCTCGTTAAGAGAAAATGAAGAAGGATTGGGATGTTAGATATGCATGCAAGAAGATAGAATATGAATTTTCTCTTAATATATATGTTGTATTAATATTTGAAAATAAATGTCTTTCTTTGTTTCATGAAAGCTCAATTTCATATTGTATGATTATATGAAAATATTCATTTCTCTAAGTTACCCAATAATCTTTCCAATGATGAAGCTGTCAAAAAATAAAAAAGAAAAAACACAAAAAAGAAAATAAGAAAAAAGAATCTACTCTGTCTATCTTAGAACCAAGTAAACGAGAATCCATTTGCCGTCTGTCCTCGCATGGCATCGTAAAGGAGGATGAAAAAGCTTGTCAAGTAGGGTGAGGGATCGACTCGAGTAAACATTTGCTATTATTCGATCCTAAATGTGTAGTGCAAAGGAAAGCATGATGGTATTTACTCGTTTACATCCTACGCTCTATGGTTAATGCATAAAATATTCTTTTAATTCAAAAGAAATTTCTCAATTAAAAACGATTATTTTATATGCAAGCTAAACGAATGTCAAGTAGATGCTATTAAACATTAATTTTTTCGCGATTAATCTTAATAATAAGAACCAAAGAAAAGTTCGATATCATGGTCTTATTTTATCGATTCATATTGGAACTAAGAATTTTAAGTATGATGAAGGTACAGATATATTGGCTTGTGGATCACGGTAAGTCGTATCTTTGATCCCAATGCGTTTAGATGTTTGACAACGACGTTCGATTTTTCTAAATATCCTGATAATTTCGTTCCATTCACAACAGATGTTGCGACGTTTATTATACAGAAAGGTCGATTGATAAAGGTGGTAAAAAATCGATGCTTTTTCTTGCTGTCGTCATCATCGTTATACGAAATTGATGAGATCAAGGATCGAAATTTAGAATATTTGTTCTTTGTTAAATAATGAGTAAGAAAAGAAATACATTAAAGACATTAAAATACATTTAAATAATACTCAATGGAGGCTTATGCATTCCAATGTACAATCGATCTTACTTCGAGAATCAAGGGAATAAATGAATGAATAAAAAACGGGAAAAAAAAGGATAGTGGTAGGGATATAGGATCTTCTTATCGACTGATTCAATCCTTGAGAACGATTTCGCTAAAGAAATTTTACTGGGCAAAAATAAAAAGTCTACGAAATGAAATAAAAATAGGTCGAATTGAGAAGGACAAAAGTAATAGTATCAGTAGTAGTAACACAACTAGTAGTAATAATAATAGTAAAAGTAGTAGTAATAACAATAGTAGTAAAAAAATAAGTAATTGGTAAGAAACAATTATAGTTGACTATAGTCGTCACTATTCATTAATAAAATATACGGATTTGTATTATTTTTAAAAATGATAAAATAAAAGAATAAAACAACGAAGAAGAAGAAAAAAAGAAGCGAATAAAAACGAGAAAGAAAGAAAAGGGTTGCATTTAACTAAGCTCTAATTAAGATTCGTTGAAGAAAGTAGATAATGTCGGCGTGAAGTCAGACTCAAGCAATAGTTATGGCACGTAAAGGAAAAGATGTAAAACGTGTTACGGGCGTGCGATCGGCGCGAACTTGCGCGACGCCTGCGCGTAATTCCGCTTGGTTTTCTCTTCTCAGCTTAACTTGGCTTGGCTCGACACGGCGTGGCGCGTCACGACGCGGCACGGCACGGCACGCCACCACCCTACTCTCTGCACTACTACTACTACTACTACTACTACTACTATTACTACTAGAATTGCTAGCTAGCTAGCTAGCTAACAGCAGTAACAGTAGCAGCAGTAACAGCAGCAGTAGGCCGCGTCGAAGGAGCACGCTCAGAAGCGCATTCGCTGTCTTTCGACGTCGTCGAAGCGTCGCTCGCGTCGTCGATGTCAGTCCGGTCCGTGCGCGCGAGTCGAGAGACGCGCTCCGTAAGCACGTCCGAGCTTTCTCGTCCGTTTCTCTACTTTGCTTATTTCCTTCCCTCTTTCTCTGTCTCTCTCTCTCTCTCTCTCTCTTCCTCTCTATAATATTCATATTTCATTTCTCTTCTTTTAACTTTCTCATTTATTATTTTCGTGTCGCTACCCAAAGTACGAGGATGAGTCCGTGTCGATTCATTACAAGTACTGAGGCGTAGTCGCTGGAAGAAGAACAGGAAAAAAAATAAGTGCTCGAGAAAAAGAAAGAAAAGAAAGAAAGCTCTCTTTCGTGTTTTACATTAAAATACGAGAAAGTAAGAAGTAAGAAGTAAGAAGTAGAAAAATGGGGAAGGTGTACGATTCAAGCAACGAGTGCCGTCGCTGAGAAGATGCCACCGCGGAAGAAGTACGAGACATGAAGAGACTGCGATCAAGGGTGGGTATTCTGCGTGAAATTTTTCCTCTCTTTTTTTTTTCTCTTTCTATCTTGGCATATATATTTTCGTGAAATTGTCCAAGAAAAAAAAAGATGACAATGACGACGTGCCGATGCTTATCGGGACATGTGTCCTACATCGATTCGTGCCTCCACCTTCCTCGCAGAGTCTCTCTGTCTCTCTCTCTCTTTCTCTCTGTCTCTTTCTCTCTCTCTCTCTCTCTCTCTCTCTCTCTCTCTCTCTCTATGCGTCGGCCTCCTCCTTCGACCATTTTCCCCCTCTCTCCCTCTTGCTCTCTTTCTCTCTCTTCCCCTTTATTTCTCTGTCTTTATCTCTATCTCTTGGTTAGTTTCACACTCTTTATTCTTCTAATCCCTCGTTTGCTTTTCTCTTTTTTTAACGAAATAAAGAGAAAAAAGAGAGAGAGAGAAAGAAAAAGAGAGTAAGTCTCTCTCTGACTTCCCTTCTACGTCTTTCTGTCTATCTTTCTTTCTCGTTTGCCTTTCCGATGGGTGCTTGTTCGAAACGTCTACCTTCCGTTTGCCCTCGATCAATCCTTCGTAGAGAAGTTCGATCCGACGTGTGTTCCGGTCAGCTACCCCTCGTGTATGCTACGTTTAGCCAGTAAATCAGAACGCGCGTCCTTTCGTTTCCCTCCACCTTCTCCTCTCCACTTCCTCTTCCTCTTTCTCCTCATCCTTTTCGTTCTACTCTTTCTCCCTATTTTCCACCTCCACACATTGTTCATAGCACGATCGCTCTTCGATTCATACAACCACGCGAGACACGAGCGTGCGAGAGGACAAAAGCCAGCACCGGCTCCGTGCGTGAAGGGGAACACCACTGTGTAGAACGATCATCCATCTCTTTTTCTCTTTCTATCTATCTCTCTCTCTCTCTCTTTCTGTTCCTCTATCGTACTCGTATTCTCGTACTCACATTCGCCCTCAGAACGAGCAAACGAGTGCCACCGACAAGGACGTTGGAAGCAACGAGCGCTCTTATCGGCATTTCGTGCACGCAGACTATCGATTCAAGCGACAAGGGGCCGGCCGTTACTACTGTCGGCATTATCGTTGCTTTTACTACTGCTACGGTCGCTACCAACGCCAGTCATTCCTGCTATTACTACTGATACTGCTACCGCTGTTGCTTGAGACAACGATTCGTTCGACTCGCTTCGAAGAAAAATTCGCGCGTGCTCCTTTATGTGTCAACCTCCTTATCTCTCTCTCTCTCTCTCTCTCTCTCTTTCTTTATCTCCTTCTTCTTCTCTCTGTCTTCGTTTGTTTCTTTCTCTCTTACTCTTTCTCTATCTCTCTCTCTCTATTTCTTTCTTCCTTACTCTTTCTCTCTTCTTCTCATCCCTTCCTTCTCTCTCTCTCTCTCTATCTCTCTCTCTCTATTTCTTTCTTCCTTACTCTTTCTCTCTTCTTCTCATCCCTTCCTTCTCTCTCTCTCTCTCTCTCTCTCTCTCTCTCTCTCTCTCTCTATTTCTTTCTTCCTTACTCTTTCTCTCTTCTTCTCATCCCTTTCTTCTCTCTCTCTCTCTCTCTCTCTCTCTTTCCCTCTCTCTCTTGCTCTCTTCATCCTTCTCAGCTTCCTCTACATATCTTTCTTGTACGTGCACGTGTGCGATTCCGCTCGTGACGTCATGAACGACGAAGCGAGCCAGTGCCCACCAAGCTGTGTTTCGATCGCAGTTACCGTTCTCGTATTGGACGACGAATACATTCGCTGACGATGATGACCGAGGAGAATCGACCGATTTACCACCCCTACTGGTAGCAACGTGCTCTACGAAGGTCTCTCATCATGTCTCTCACTCTTTAAACATCCAACTCCATGAGTTTTCATTCCGCTTAACCTTGCAGACTTTCGGTCAAACTATTCGCATATTCTGAATACGCTCCAGTTATCGATTTAGAATGTACGTGTATTGAGTCATGATCGGTGTACTTTCCAAGTAACTTTTCACTTCTCCTATTTCGGTATCTCTCATTCAACCGTCGGTCAAATACCTTTACTTTAGTTCGAACTAATCGCGAGTTATAAGACAGTAATAAAATTATTCCAAATAGCGTAAAAAATTTATTCGAAACGACGACCAATCTCATCATTGTCGTTACTTCGATCGTCGACCTTATTGTATAGTACGAAGAAAGCCTGTCTTTTGCCATGCCGGCAGGTGGTTCTTTTTCCTTAACACTCGCTTCAAGATATATATATATATAATTTTATAGAAATCGAGATTAATCTTTCCACGGCATGAAGGTCTTTCAAACGAATCAAATACTTTCCTTCGAGGCCGCGAGGTCTAAGTTTTAACCCTCCCGAAGAGCGAGTCTTCCATTCCGAGGTAGTCTATTTTTAGGGAGGGGGTCGTTACTGCCTCTTTCATGCTCGCGAATCCCTCATTGATTCGACTAAATTTCTCTGCTAGGTGTCTCTGCGGGGCTAACGACACACGCGTGATTCCATTAAATACTCATGAAATATATCCGTTAACGACTTCTACGTATATTTTTAAATCTCCCCACCGATCCTTGCTATAAGAATACTCATATGCGTACTTTGGTATTGTACGTATACGTATTTGTAAGTTCATAAAATGCAAGTAACACAAGCCAATAAATGTGGACACATCCGAATCGATTTTTCCAAAGCACTTTATAAATTGTATCGAGTCTGCGATAATGCTGAGGAAAAAAGTAAACGATTTTTATTTCGTGACATTCGACATTCGGAGAAAGAAAAACGATTGGACGAATCTAACGTAAATCGTACGTCAAGGCGACATGGGTCGCTCGAATGGACTCGTAGAAATGGATAGATTCAAAGCCACACCTATGAAAAAGGTGGGAGAAGAAATTTGTACTTGCAACCCAAACGTCTACGTGTAAAAACTTCGCGAAAATCTGCGCGAGACATTGATCTTTGAAAAAGACGAGACGACCTGTTTTCTACGGATTGATAAATCTCGTACCAAAATAAATGGATCTCGAAAGAAAGAAGGTTCCCCCGTTATTCTGGCGAGAAAATTGTTCGACTGGAAATACTGGTTTGTATATCGCTTGAAATTTAGTCCTTCGACAAGAGCTTGGTTCGACGTTTAGTGAACTCCAAATTCAAGTTTACCACACCGTATAATTTTTCTAGCGTGATAATTGACTAGACCGGCCATAGACCCGCATCAACAAGAGAACAAAATTTATTTTCAGATAGGATAAAATAACTCCTTTATCTTTTCCATCGAAAAAAGATTTTTCAAACGGTACCGGTATGGTTTCCAAAAGTGTATTTTGTACAACGATCGTAGATAGAGATCGCATTGTTTACAACTACGTTGATTTGTTTTCGACGTGTATCAATTCAGTTATGGACATTTCATAGGCCAACTGTATCTCATTCGACTATCGGCCATTGAAATCGAATTATGGGATGCGTCATATACGTTATACGGAACATCAGCGTGCCATTCAACTAAAATCCTTTGCTTTCAAATCAAGACTAACACGTGATAATATGAAATACGATATTCTTTGAGTTATCCTCTTTCTTTTCAATAAGAATAAAAAAAGAAAAAGGTGTGAGACTAGAGCATAGCGACGACACGATTAATGTCGTTTATTTGTGAAACCATTAAATGGTCGTGTAATTGGAGCGCTCTAATTACATCCCAGAGAAGTTATTTTCCTTCTCAGCTGACCTCTCGTCGCGAAAAAGTCGAGAAATATCGACGTTTCATGGCACTCTTAATATCACTCTCGAACTTGGTACTGGCAGAGAAATCAAACGTAATAAGCGTTGGCCGTAACGATCGATTGAATGATTCCAGGAAAACTCGTCAAGGTGATCGAATTCGAATGAAATGTTTGTCTAAAATCTTCAACTTCAATACAATCTATTTCGAAGGAAAATCCTGATCCTTTTCTTATTTCGTTTTCCATTAAAATATTACAAATATTTTCAAATACCCCAACGTTCGTAGATCAAAAAAAGAAAAGAAAAATAGAAAATCCGAACAACGATACCTCTTATTTGAATGGCCTTGTTTTCTCTATTGTTTCCTATATTCAACAACACCACTTGCTTTTCCAACAGTCGAAGATAATATATACGTTCGATCCATTTGTATAATGGTGTCGATGCATTTTTTTCCCCATCTCCTTTTCTTTTTTCTTTTTTTTTTCAAACGAATACCTGTCTACGAACATGTCCATTACGAGCAAGTGCATTCGCAATGTCTATCGTTTTTAACGGGTCGACATTGTTGCAATGCGTTGAATGAAGCTACAGTTTGAAAGCCACAACGAAAAGAATTTCCAGGTTCCGTGCGTTCGAAAGAGAGAAAATGAAAAGATGGGACAAGAAAAAAAAAATAATCTAACCGGCTTATCGAACTCGGTTTTTACGCGCTTTCTAGGACGACATGGAGAGATCGATAAAGAACGATTCGACGTCGCCGTACATGAACGACTCGCGATTTGCCAATAATAGTTGGCAGATATTCCGAAAAGAGAAATAGATATATCGATATCATGACTCTTGATCGTAAGTATGATATTAATCTTGTGAACCTATGAGAGAGACAAACGTAACATTGTATTATTTGTATGCAGGTTTCAAGGGTGGCCAAGTAAAATCTGCGCAAGCATTATGCCGATATCGTGTCATAAGCGATGCAGATTGGCACTGGCCATGTTTTACATTACCATAGATCTCTCCGTGGCAACTTCGAACTTATACACAAACATTATATGATGATATATATATATATATATATATATATATATATATAATCAAGATTATGTATATATATATATACAATTTTGATTTCTCTTCTCCAAAGATCAGAGTAATCCTTCGTAGGAACGTTCTATTTCAATCCTTTCTCGTCATATATGACGACACGAGCCTCCTTGATTGCGTTTAGGAACGTGTTGGCTAATAGCATCATGGCAATCTCTCTAATTGCTTTTGCTACTGGATTGGCTCTTTTGGAAAGAGCCCCTAGCCATTGAATTATCTGAAGTAATCGATAAAACGTATAATGTTGAACATTTTGTGAAAATCTCAATCTTAATATCTCGAGATTCGATGGAACGAATCACAAAAGATCTTTCGTTCAATTCCGTACAAAGGTATATGGTTACGTCAAATGAATTTTCTCAATGTCTTTCTTATCCTATTTCATCCAACGGCCCGTGACACGTCCCATTTGCGAATGTGTGACACAACAATGTTAGTTTCTTTCGCTTCTCAACTCCGTTTAGTCTACGAAGATAATATTTTATTCTCCATTTTTCCCTGTCTTTTCTTACTTACTTACTAAATGAGAAATCGATCGGATCCGATGGCGCATCGGATAAAGTGCAATTCAGTACGCAGCTTACTGAATCGAAGACCAGCTTCGAATCGTGCCCATTAAAAAAGTCGATTTTCTTCCTTTTATCATCTACCCTTTCAACATCCAATCGATTAACTTTTAATCGGTTATATCGAAATACCGAGTTACTTCGATAGATCTAGTGAATAAAAAAAATAAAAAGAAAGAGAAACTGACTCTTTATTTAAATTCCTTTTCCTTTCTCGAACTTCTTTAGTTCTAAAATCACCTGCGATTTCTCGCTCTTTAAATTCTATTCAATTTCATTGAGCTGTGTCATAAATGTCAAATCGATTCGAGAAGCTCTTTCACAATTACATCTTATAACTTTTCTGTCTATATTAAAGATTCATTAGATCAAAATCGTATCCCTCGATTCGAAAAGAATAGATAGCTTCCATTAAATTATAATCAGACATCCAAATGATCCTTCATTAATATCTTTGACTGTTATTAATGAGTTAATTACCTATTAATTCGTTTTCTTTTTTCTATTTCGCCGATCGTAGGACACGTGGGTTTCTTCCAGTCAGGGCAGGCGGTAGCAGAGCCGTGATCAAAATGAACCTGATAAATATGGACGCGGAGAACCGCGTGGTTCTTAACGTGGGTGGGATACGGCATGAAACATATAAGGCAACCTTGAAGAAGATCCCGGCGACGAGGCTCTCGAGGTTAACTGAAGCCCTCGCGAACTACGATCCGATCCTCAACGAATACTTCTTCGATAGGCACCCAGGAGTCTTCGCTCAGGTTCTCAACTATTATCGCACTGGAAAGCTCCATTATCCCACGGACGTCTGCGGGCCACTCTTCGAAGAAGAACTCGACTTTTGGGGTCTCGACTCCAATCAAGTCGAACCTTGTTGTTGGATGACATATACCCAGGTATCAAATCTTCACTCCCTCTTTAATTCACGTTCTTTGCACCATGCTTCGCATATATCTGATCGTTAAGTCGACTTGATTCAATGTTCGTTTATCATTTCGCTTGAATCTGAAAAGAAAAAAGAAGAAAGAAAAAAGAAAAAAGAGAAATCGTTCAATGCGATGATTTATCGAAAGTAGAGAAAACTATGAAAAAGCAACAAAAAAAGAAATGATAATCGTCTGACAATGTCATTTATTTCATTGATTCGTCGAGGGGATTCGGAGAAGACATTCGTTTATTTCGTAACCCCTCGATTCAAATTTTTTGAAGGTCTCTCATCTTTCCGTAGGATAATAAACGATATAATTCTTTTGTCGGATAATAAATTTTTTACCCCTATGATAAAACGAGAAATAAGTTAAAACGAAATTTAAACTGAACATTTTGTACGTTCCTTTAAAAGTCATCCCTTTCAAGTTTTAATTCGTACCAAATGTTGAAGTCTACTTACTCACGTAAGTCGACACATTTTTAGAAACAAGTAGCCGTACGAGTTTAAAGCAGCCAGAGTCTCGTTAATCCGAGCTATGGTATTACTACTATCGCCATCGCAAGTGTGGAAGGATCTTAATGAGAGAGGATCTCGCGAACTCGGTGCAAACGGTCGTTTCGTGTGATGATTTCGTAACGAGGTTTCTTAACGAGCGAGAGTTACCGCAAGAAGATTCCGACACGTCAGACCGATTTTGGGATGCACCAAAGCTTGCACAGCTTTAAGCACTATTCTGTAACTAAACAGAAATTTACAAAAAAAAAAGAAAAGAAAAGAAAAGAATCGAAAATCGAAAAAAAAGAAGCACCGAATCTAAATGAGAAATTATCAAAATAATATAATTATTATCAAAATAAACTAACGAAATAATGAATTTCTTTTCATAATTTCGTAGTAGTCACTGCTCTTAGATATGATTATTATATTTTCTTAGATATGAACGATCCATTGGATCGATTCCTACCCAAACAATATTTCTATGAATAGCATTCAGTATTCTGTTGATCGTAGATGCTTAGGAATTGATGATTTATTATCTCGTAATACGCAAAATGAAAGTCAATCAATATTTGTTGCCAAGACTTTACTGAATGACTTTCCGAATCGTCTTTCGATCGTTTGGTATTAATTCATTTCGAAGATAAAAATAAACATTTATCCAAATAGTACGTTTCTCATTGGGTCAAACTTTAAAGTTACTCTGATGTGTATGAAGCACTATTGTATTGTATAGAAATTATAATATAGACTTGACCTATTTTGCATCGTATTTCATAACGAAAGAAAATAGTTTCCACAATTAATGTAATGCTACTCCATATTATTTCATCGAAAGTATTAATACTTAATTTTACATACGTTGGATGAACAAATTATTATTACGTCATAAGTAATAAAAGGAGTGAATTTGATAGAATAATCATGTTTTGTTACACGAACTTGATGAATAGTAATTAGCAAAGTATATTTTAAAAACAATACCTGCTCAAATGCTAATAAACTGTTTGCTTTCTGTGCTAACGAATCATTGACGTAAATGAAATTGAATTTTCGTATATATCTCTGCTTATAAGAGTTCGAATATTTGATGTCTTATTTCAACTTAAAAGCTGAAAGCAAATTATTTCGAAAAACAGGCTTCTTCCTTCCTCGAAATAATGTGTACACGGGAAGCTCGTTAAATTTATTCGTTCAACCGAATCCATGTGTTTATGATCTATTCCTATCGAGTTGTGGTTATCATTGAATGCTTTGTGAAATCATTCTTCGAACTATGATACCGTAGTCGTTAATTGGCATTTGCCGATTATTCCTCGAGAATTGCGTGATTAATTATAAATTGATCGATACTATTATTAAAACTCAATGACGATGAATAATGAGAATAGATTAAAAAAAGAAAAAGAAAAAAGGAGAAACTAGGAAGATTTTGAACTGAGGAAAATAATATTAAAGTATTGTGAATCGACAGAAATCTCACTGTAGGTTCTCAGCATCTTAAAGTTGGATAATCTCTTTCCTCTTGATGGACCCGGTGCTTCTTTTCGACCGAATGGTTTATCTCAAAGATACTTGAAGCATTGATTCAGGACTCATCAAAACTATGAGAGATTTTCCATTCCGACGAATATCTAACAACTATCGGCATGATCGTTCATTTCAGAAAAAAGAAATAAAAAAAATACTTTTCTGTATCGTAACAAATCGCACAAATATTTCTTTCCGTTTATTCTTCTTCCTTTTCTTTTCTATATCTTTTTGTAAAGATAGAATATTCAAGCATAACGACGAGCAAAACTTATGCAAATAACATCGAGACAACGGCACGGCATTATTTTTATATCGTCTCCGTCGTCGACGGTCGAGGTTTCAGCAAAGACGGCTTTCGCTATCGATTTTATCGAAAAAAGAATAACGTAGCACTCGCGCGAAGTCCAAAGCTCGGTATATACGCTTTTGCACGCGTTTTATTTAGTCTCGAGGAAAATGTAAAAAGCATCCTCGGGAAAGAGAAAGAAAGAGAGAGAAAGAGAGAGAAAGAGAGAAAGAGAGAGAGAGAAAGAGAGAAAAGAGAAAGAGAGGGAGAGAGAGAGAGAGAGGAAAGAGAAAGAGAGAAATTCACAGGTACGAATAACGATCGTTGTTGCCCCTCCCCTTGACGCATCTCTCGTCGACTCCATCATCCATCATCAGCATCGGGACACGCAGGAAACGCTGACGGTCCTGGACAGGTTGGATTTGGACACGGAGAAGCCGACGGATGAGGAACTGGCCAGAAAGTTTGGCTTCGAGGAAGCCTATTACGAGGGCACTCTCACCTGGTGGCAAAAACTCAAGCCTCAAATGTGGTCGCTCTTCGACGAACCGTACTCCTCTCCTGCCGCCAAGGTCAGTGATGATGCAAAGAAATTCTCTATAATTGGAAACGAGAGTGCGTAAACTTGAAAATCTTCGTTGATATCGTTTCAATTTAAAACTAAAGCTTCTCTCTATTTACATTGTATCATCAATAATTATTAATTTTTATACTTAAATTTATTACATTTGACCTGTCTACAGTTCAGCGTCGCAATCAATAGGAGGGAATGTATCGGATATTACGGTACTATATCGTCGAATCCCCCTTCGATATGCTTCTTTTTTCCCTCCTTCTTTTTCACCCCTTTAATGTTTACTTTTAACGTTTACATTTCTCTCGTTTCGCTTATTCTTAAGCTATTATCGTACCTTGTCTTTTTCTTTACCCGTTCTACTACTGTATACATATATATATACATACACACCAAGTCACTTATCCCTCTCACTTATCCCAACTATTACATTCTTCGCCCTTAACAAGAGATCGAACGGAGTATGATAGTCAATTTTCATGTTTCGCCATAGTACGCTATATGATTCATCTTATTGGGGCATTTCATGTTATTTTTTCCTTCGTCTCCCTTTTCTCGCTTGTTCAACGGCAAATGATTTAGCCAGCGGCTATGCTTGACGATTTTTCACTTCTCTCTTGGAGTGACGATATTTGTCATGAAGTACCTTTAAATCCGCAATATCAGTGTCGCCCTTTGAAAATATGGCTTTGCATATTTATGTTGACGTAAAAAAAAAATGAAAGAGAGAGAAAGAGAGAGAGAGAGAGAGAGAGAGAGAGGGAGGGACAGAGAGATGAAGAAAGAGAAAAAGAAAATAAACGAAACAAATTTATGTTCACCTTATTTTCACGTCCACCGTACTTATCCCATAAATCATATTATATTACTTGCTTCGTTCCTGACTATGTGATCATAAATTACTTACATCGATGAAACCTTCCGCCGTGCTTACATCGCCGTTATAAAAAAGTGTAATAGCCTAATTCTAAATAGAAAAATATCTAGAAATTTTCACTATCGTTCCATATCGTGCTTTTCAAAGATTCTCTCAAGCGAAGTTGTTTCCCCCATAATATCAAGTAGAAAATATAAAAATTATTAAAACAAGAATAATTAAGAAGATGAAAGCGTACCGGTCAAGAGTGTCAGAAATGCAATTTTCATTTTGGAATATTTTTGTTTTGTTCACATCTCCCAACGAACGTAAAAGAAAAAGAAGAAATGAGAAAATCAAAAGGGATGGTACCTGGTTGTGTTTCTCGAAACAAATCTTATCAAGATTTCTATGTCGATCTTCAACAGGTAATCAGCATAGTTTCGGTCTTCTTCATCTGCGTCTCCATACTGTCATTCTGCCTGAAGACTCATCCTGACATGCGAGTGCCAGTGATAGTGAATCGGCCGGTGAAAGCGGGCAACATGACGTCTTGGGTGCTCGACAAAACGCGCACGAACGCCCACGACGTCTTCTTCTACATCGAGTGTGTCTGCAACGCTTGGTTTACTCTGGAGTTCCTTATACGGATAACAGCAAGTCCAAATCGTTGCGTCTTTATAAAAAGTTCGGTCAATTTGATCGACATGGTGGCAACATTGAGTTTCTACCTTGACTTGGCATTGCAACGATTCGCATCCCATCTGGAAAACGCGGACTTTCTTGAATTCTTGAGCATCATACGTATAATGAGGCTGTTTAAGCTCACCCGTCATTCATCCGGCCTGAAGATTTTGATCCAAACGTTCCGTGCCTCGGCAAAGGAACTGACCTTGCTGGTATTCTTTCTTGTCCTCGGCATCGTGATATTCGCAAGTCTGGTGTACTACGCCGAGAGAACCCAATCAAATCCAGAGAATGACTTTAAGAGCATACCTCTCGGCTTATGGTGGGCTCTTGTGACGATGACCACGGTTGGTTACGGAGACATGGTACCGAAAACGTATGTGGGAATGTTCGTAGGCGCGCTATGTGCCCTGGCCGGTGTCCTCACGATCGCCCTGCCGGTGCCCGTGATCGTCAGCAACTTTGCGATGTATTACAGTCACACGCAGGCGCGAGCCAAGCTACCAAAGAAGAGACGTCGTGTCTTACCCGTCGAACAGCCAAGGGTCAGGGCGCCAGGCGCGCCTCCCGGTGTTGGACCAACTGGCATTGGTGCTACTGGTGTTGGTGGAACCGTTGGTGGACCTCCTGGAGTTGGAGGACATGGACCGGTCAGCCAACACGCCACGACCGGTGGGGGCCCTCCGTCCTCTGGCGTCACGCATGGACAACCAGCTGGTGGTTGCCCTCCTCCTCATCAGGGGCCTCAGAACCGTAGGATGAACGCCATCAAGACCAATCATCCCAAGGATCCCTTCGCTACCAAATCAGGTACCCTGACATTCTCTCTCTTTCTCTCTTCTTTACTTTCCAATCTTTTTCAAAACCCTTCCTCTTCTTCGTGTAGTCGTGTAGTCGATTTTCCTTTTTCTCGTACGGTGGGTTCCAGAGGAAGACCGGAGGAACTCTAACCTGCGGACCAACGGGACCAAGACTACTGGAGGCTTGGGTTAAGCCGATATCGAGGCTACTCTCCACTGCCGATGCGTTCGCCGAACGGAAGAAGAAGACAGAGTTGAAGGTTAGAGGGAACAGCTCGCAAGTCCGCTCAATGATCAATAAGCTTTGCGGACATTTTTACGATAAGACAGTCGGTGGCTGTCCTCCGGAATACTCTCCCTCTCTTTCCCTCTCGCTCGCTCGTTCTCACTCTCTCCCTCTCTTCCTCTCCCCTCTACCAAATCTTTTCTCTCTTTCTCTCATAAACGTAAAGCAATCACGCACGATATGACGTAGGACATCCGAGCTAAAATCTCTGATCGCTTTGCAGAACAAGGATATCAAACAATATTTACCAATCTCCTTCAACATTTTTATTCCAAACCCTTATAAGTATCATAAAGTTACGATTTGATTGTTTTTCCCTTTACCTTTACCTTTAACCACAGGAGGTCCTTCTATTTTCGGTCAGCCTTTCTTTAAGTAACGTGGCGAGCTAGGAAACCGGTAAATATAACTCGTAGGAAACAACGCTCGTTAAATGTCGAAGATAGCTTATTCTCTACATTATAAAAGATCGAGGTCAGGGGAAAAAGAAGAAGGAAAAAAGGGAAACATTGAAAAAAAAAACGCTTAATCGTGAGAGACTTTGAAAAGAGTGAACGACGGATATGTAAGTCGGAAGAAAAGAAAGATCGAAAATTAGAAATGGATTCTCTTCGTTCATTTGTATGTTCGTTGTAGTCCTTTGACTCTTATTCGCTGAAATGCACGGAGCTTATCGATGTTCCGATACATAAGGCTTACGCGTAAGCGATCGTTCAGACTCATCCGTTCCGGAATGCACGCTACGGCCTAAGGTCGACTCGGAACGTGTATCGAGCGCTTGAGATTTTCCAATATCAGCATACTCGTTCGTTCCGTCCGACACGTTTGCGGACTTCGCCAACTCGTTGGCCCCATCCAAACCAGCGCGATTTTAGACTTACGAATACGCTTCGGTACACCTGTAAAAGCAATGGATTCTTGAAATTACAGCGAATCGATGTGCATTTGAGATATATACCCCTATACGTATGTATATATATATATATATATATACATATATATATACATATATATATACACATATATATATACATATATATATACACATATATATATACATATATATATACACATATATATATACATATATATATACATATATATACATACATACATATATATATATATGTATAAACATACATATACATATATACATATATATATATATATATATATATATATGTATAAACATATATATATTAGAGAAAAGATAGACCCGGATCTAAAGTAGGAACCAGACGTATCTATCTTTCAGATTAACTTGTTGATCGATGGAAGAGATGCTTCGAAGGGACCATGTCAAAAATATATCTCTGTATGAGTGAACGTATGTATGAATGTATATATACAAACATCCTACATATCTATCAAACAATCGTCGATCAGGATAATCGTGATTTTTCATTTATACGTTTGCTTTTAACGAACGTCGTTTAACGACTTAATGAATTAAAATCGGTCTTGTTCTTTTTATGGCGATAAGCGCTTTATCATCCCCAACCGCTTGAAGCGACATCGGTAATCGGGTTAGATTCTAGGGGATAATCGATACCGACGATCTTTATATAGTCAACGAAATGAGTTTTTCTCAATCACTTTCTTTCTTTTTTTCTTTTTCAGTTTTTTTTTCTTTTTCTTTTTTTTCTTTATTTTCACGATCAGAAAGCGAAAACGGGAACTCTAAAATTCTTTCTCAGAACTTTAACGAAACGACCCGTTTCGTTTATTCTACTCTTTGACCACAGTCCGATTAGATGGTTACGCGTTTCGTAGACTCTGTAAACAACTTCGTCGCGCTTGTTTCTAACTATAGCAGGAAACGTAAGTTCGGAGAAAACGTACAGGAGAAACGTACAGGAGAAATTCTCATTTTACGTTTTCTTTTTACATTTTATACTCGAGATAAAAAATTTACTTAGGCTAAAGTGTGACATTTGTGTTATAATTATACGATTATTAAATAAAATTTCCTATTTTATACGCATGATAAAATTTATCGATATACATTAATGAAACAAAAGCGATGGGAAGATTCGATAAAAAAGAGAGAAACAGGGAAAGAGAAAGAGAAAGACGGAGAGAGAGAGAGAGAGAAAGAGAGAGTGAGAGAGAGAGAGAGAAAGAAAGAGAAAAATCAGTCAAGTATATAATACGAAAAAGAATAAAAATATGTAAGCGAAGCATTAAGAGTTTCTAGCGTGTTCCTACGAAACGCATATTTTCGCGCGAAATTAATATACAACACCGAACTTAGAATTCCACAAGCACTTACATATGTATATCCTTTGCGCATCCTGAATAAGTACCGCCGGGACCAATCACCAAGCACCTTCTTTTTCTCTTTCATCCTTAAAGCCTCTCCTGTTCCTTCCACTCTTATTCCCGATCATTAAATTACCCTCAAAATAAAGTGGTACATTGCTCTCTCTCTCTCTCTCTCCCTCTCTCTCTTTCTCTCTCTCTCTCTCTCTTTCTCTCTCTTTCTCTTCCTTTATCTCCTTTTTTCCTTATAAACAACGAGCAAATTTACATGCATTTAACAAATGGCAAGGTTGTATATGTATCGTCACTGCACTAAAAATAAAAAGAGAGAAAGAGAGAGAGAATGAGAGAATGAGTTAAGAAATCAAATCGACGAGCTTAATTAAACAACGTGTGGATGTCGTACGAATGCAAACGCAAATGAATAAAAGCAACAACTTCCCTATCAGAGTTTAAGAAATCTTTGGCTCTGCATCGAGTATGCACTCAAGTGTGTCTTGCAACGGAATAAATTCGCTCGGTATATTGTGTTCTTTGTGTGTATTTATGATAGCAGCTATTATCTAGTCGACTTGAGACGGTAAGCAAGGCACGTCTCCTGATATCGATGAAAACGTCGATGCGAATCGATCTAAGCGAGTTTTCCGATTATTTTTCCCTTTGATCTCTCCTTCTCTCGTGAGACAAAGAAGTAAACAAGAACAATGTCAATGTTGCCTTCTAATTCGATCTTGTTGTTATTATCCTTGTCTCTGTAGTCTTGTTGTTCAATGATCTCTCTAATGGCTTTTCTTTTTACGATCTGTCAAACAATAAACGGGGTAACGTGTGTATGGTCCGTACATGTTTTGAAGCGGCCGTAATATTGCTACAAGTGAATTCTCCAGATTTTCTAAAGTAATACAATCTTCGGCGAAATCTCGTGGAACAATTGAAGAATAGAAAATTCGAAATTCTCTCGTATCGAATACTTTGTCGAGCTGACTCGGTCAGTCAATAAATTCAAATCGATGAACTTTAAAAATATTTTAAAAGAAGGAAAGAGAGAGAGAGAGAGAGAGAGAGAGAGAGAGAGAGAGAAACTAGATTGATGCGTTTCAAATAACCGAGTTAACTTGATAAGTCTTTTAAAGAATTTTTGCACTTGTGAGGTGGTTGGACGAAAAAGTAAGCAAAATAAAGAAGCGAAAGATGAGATGAAAAGAGAGAGAGAAAGAGAGAGAGAGAGAGAGAGAGAGAGAGAGAGAAAGAAAGAGAACAAATAAAAGAATGCATATCCGCGGCGGGCATAATAAGCACGCACGCACAACAGTTTTTAAAGAGAAATGAAGAACAAGTGTATCGTCGGTTAGGCGTGTGCATGGAAAAAAAAATATATATGTATGTATATATACGTATATATAATATATAGTATATACATATATATACATATATATATGCATTCGTCACTCTGAATCGTTACTATACGACATGGAGATTGAATTCCACTAACGAAGGATTTTTTCTACAAGTATCTTTTTAATTAAAAAAACACAAGCACGGAGAATTTCAGAGAGATGTTTTCTTTGACTATGTAGCAATTGTCTTCAATTCTTGGACATTCTTGAAGCGATGCGAATATTCCTTGAATTTACAGTCATTGTAATTACATTAATTAACGCGTCTTTATTGCTCAACGATATACCAAGAAAATAGAATAGAGTTAAGGATAATAAAAAACGAAGGTGAAAAATATCGTTGCCTGCGAAGAATCGGTCACCTTCTTTTAAAAATAGTTGTAGTTAAAGCATTCGTATCTAAAGAATGTTCAAAAGAATCTATGCGAAGCTTCAAGAACGTTCAAACTCTTTAATGAAATTTTTAATAAAATCAAGTCGAATGGATTGAAGCGATGCACGAAATGAAGCACGTCATATCGACGATTAACATACGAGACACACCGAACCGCATGTGAAAACAGAAACACACATGAACATATACACATAAAAAGAAACACACTCTCACTCGCATTCGTTGACCACCGCCCTTTTACACGTTTTATCAGTCCTTTTGACTTTGTAGATAGAGTTGTACGATTTTTCTTAACGAACGCCAACGTCGAGCTGTCGTCGATGCTGTGGTATCGCAAATTAATCGCTAATCACGTTATGATTATTCAATATTATTATAAATCGAAAATGGGAGAGAGAAGAAACAACATGCGCGGAATCTCCCAACATGTCGAACGTGTGTATTAGCACCAAAGAGGAAGACGAATTTTACATTAAATACAATACGTGTCGTCAACGTAACCGTATTAACAAGCATTATCATTTCTATTCTTGTAACATCGTCATCATTATCGCTATGATCCTTGTCGTGATCGTCGGCGCATTTCGTGACGCATCACGTAACACGATGTAACCGTAACATGCCGCTCGACGAGAAGAAAAGTCTAGCTCTGGAAATAGGTTCGCATCGAATCTCGTACGAACGTTGTACGTTACCACGCAATATCGCCGACGAAAATCTCGGGAGGTATCGAGGGGACCGAGCGGATGAATAAAACAAAAAAATAATATAAAATAAAAAAGGCGAATTATATATATACATATATATATATATGTATATATATATATGTATATATATATATATATATATATATATATATATATATATATATATATTATTGTACCGAGAGTTGTGCGCTGCGTTTACGATTTAAGCTAGTTTGTTTGTAAATAAAAACTATTTGACTCTTTGACACACTTGTCTAGTATACAAATATGTATCTTCCTCTTCAATTCCTTCAAGTGTAATCCCTTTTCTCCTCTTTCAATTTCATTCATCAAGACGTTCCTCCTTTCTACTCTCGTAATTTAACGCTACACAAGATCACACCATTGAAACGTTTAAGGTACACATCGTAGCTGTTCATACATAAGACACATGCCAACATTATCCTCCAGTGTTGTCCCTGTATCCTCTCCAGGACCAAACGCAACCCTTATACGAAAGGGCGTTGCCCAAGTCTCCACACGACAATTTCCATCGGTGTCTAGCTCGTCTCGTTCGCACAACGAATTTCCGCAATGTTCGAGATTGCAAATTCCGACACCATTGTTGCCGGGCTAAAACAAACGAATTGCCGTCTTTATCGGTTCTATCTCTCTTTCTCTCTTTCTCTCTCTCTCTCTCTCTCTCTTTTTCTTTTTCTCTTTGTCACCATTTGTGATTAACAATTGAATTTGAAATGTTCTACAGCGAATAAGACCGCACAAACGTTCGAAGTTCCATCAATAAATAAAAAATAAAATAGATGATATAGTACCGTGATAAATTCCTCGAAATCACAAGGTATAAGAACTTTGTCTCTGCATCTTCTAGTTATAATAGTTAAAGGTGTAACAGTCTCTTGTCCATCCGGACCACTTCCAGATCCTTCCATTAAAAAATCCGTTTGTCCAACGTCAGTAGAATTACCGTTAACGTTATTACTACTGTTGGTACTGTTATTAGCTTTTCTTCTGGGAACAGTGGTTGTAGCATTCGATTCAATTTGTCCTGATCTCGAAGCTCCTATTCGAAAAGAATCTTTCGAACAAGGAGTATAAGAAATACCACACATTTCCTTTTCTTGACGAACGCAAACTAAATAGTCCTGATCAGCTAAAAATCTCCCATTTGGTAGATAATTCATAGTTTTAAGGGTACCATTAGGTGAACGAAAGTATTGAAGGCAGCCAGCCGGTGCACGATCTTCGAAACCCAATTGGATCACTCTCATTTCCCACATTCGCGAATGAAGTCCATTCGGTAGCTTAAAGTCAAGGGTCACAGGTTCGTCGGCCTCGTTTACGTCTAAATATACTGACCGCACGAATACGTATCTATATAATATATTTCTTAAATAAACTACGAAAGAAGAGAATAGTGTGTTATACTTACTGTGCTGCCCGCTATTCCACCCACACAATTTTAGAGACGACCTATTACCATTCCTAATTTCCATAATATCTTCGTCACAGATGCCAGTTCTTCTATTAGGTTGACCCTAAAATCATTAATAGATTGTCAGAAAATTCCTAAGTGTGAAAAGATGATTAATCTCACTATGGACATCTCGATAGATAAACCTTCCCTTAAAGATGGACTTCTTTTTAAGTCGTAAGAGCCAAGAGTTCGTTTTAAAAATTCAATACGAAACTTTGAAGATGTTAGTTGCCGCCAAGTGTTTGAGTTCTTTCTAGATTTTAAGAGAAGTTCTCTCTTGTACTTAAGAAAAGTGCTAATGCATCCCCTAAGATACTTATATGAAATAAACTGTAATGATTAATGATCTAAATTCGAAATCCCATCGGTTCATTCTAATGTAACCTAACTAAATTCGATTTATTTACTAACTTTATATATACTTTTACAAATTTAATTAAACCCAAATTATCATAAAATCGTCCCCATTAAACAACAAGAACTACTCGAATACAAGCGTGACTGAAGTATCAAGAAATAGTAGAATTCGCACTTACTATGTTGAAGTGTATGAAGTCGATCCTCAATTGGCTGACCTGCCTATCGATCTTCCGGACGACTACCGAGCAGTTCATGGGTCGGTCGATGAGGTTCGGGAAACCAGGACTGGTCACGTAGGTCAGATTATTTTGCACCTCTTGATCGCAACTCGCCGTAACTTGTAGTGGGAAAAATTAATGAATAATGATGAAAAACATTCGCATGTACGTTCTCAATGCGTAAAATTATTCAAATATATTCAGCCTCCCTTAAAAATTCAAAAACTTGTTCGTTTCGTCTTTTCTTTTTTAGAAGAATAACCATAATCATTAAAGAAACTTTTTCAATTCAATCGAAGACTTGAAAAAGCAAATTTCGTTTCGTACACTCGAATGTATTACTGTATCTTTTAAACCCTATCAATTACGTTTCTTTTGCCTCTTTGACCCTAAATAGCAGAGTTCTTTTCTCGAGGGTAACGAGTCCTTAAATAATTGAAGAAGTTTGAAACGCAATAAACCAACGACGTGGAAAGAAATACTGTAATTAAATTATTTCTCAATGGTGCCCACTCGACTATATTTCAGTCAACCTTTTCAAGATAAATTTCGCGTCGAGATGAAATCGCTAGTAAAGGTACCGAAGTATAAAAGACCGTATATTTGTATAACTCAACTGAAGTAATATAAATTTCATTGTTCAACTACGATCGACCTATCTACAAATTGATTTTATAAGAACGTTTTGGATTTCTTAAAATATTTCAAGACAAAGTAGATAATAACCAATGTGTTCGCATTTCAAAGTATTATCATTTTCACACTGAATGTCTTTCTATAAAATAGTCATAAAATGGTAGATTGAAAAATGAATAAATACAACATTCAATTATCCTATATAGTATTAACAAGTAAAATTCATTACTTTAACAAATAATAGTAATAATAATTAAATGACGCTTATATTTACATGTCCATTTTTATTCGAGTAAAATTTTCAATTTCCGATTTCTGAAGTGAAATTAAAAATCTGGATATATATACCGTTAGGATTTTTTCTAAGAAAAATAAGAGAGAGAGAGGGCGAAAGATCATGATGCGACATTCTTATGCCAGTCCAGAGTTCCGATAACGAGTTCTCATTCAGGCATTCAGTGGCCGTTTTAGAGTCTCCGGGGCTCCATTCAACGACTGTGTCTCTACCACACATTTACCATTTCGTTTCGTAGATTTTACTCCCTCCTTCGTACATAGTACGAAACGACATTAAAAATTTACAGGCCAACCGGTATCGACGCTCGTCGAGAAGGAATTCTACTTTGTAAACTTTGATCCTTTATAAAAGTAGGTAAGAAATAAACAATAACAACGACGAAGATATCAGATCCGATAAATTTGATTTACAAATAAGTAAATATATATGCAGGTATGTATGCACGTATATACATATGTACCTACGTATATAGAAGGTGCACATTCGCAATTACATCGATTAACATGACGTAGAAATATCATAATACCTAGATTTGCTCTTTCAAATTAATTTATATTTGTTTACCATTCGTTAAGAACGTAAAGTCGGAAGATACTGAACGTGTCTTCGTTAGTTAATTTCCCTCGAGAAATATCGTTCTGCATCTTAGAAATACAAATTGCTTTAATCTTAGTTAAAGAAAAATTTCTAACGATAGAATTCATAATGATGAAAGAAAGGGAAAAAAAGAAAAAGATAAAAATAGAGAGAGAAAGGGAGAGAGTATTAAATCTTCTAAGAATATTCTCTTTCTCTCTTTCTTTCTACCCCTAGTAAACATAAAGGTTGATATGAAATTTCAACGAAAATTAAAGTCCGATATCTCGCATAATTAAATATCAAGTTAATTGCTCGGCCTCGCGTGGTGACTACTCGACAGGTATTTTAAGCGGGATCCGATGGAAACGTGACTAAAGTTAGCTTTCGCCTAACTTAAGATACTTTACTAATTATCGAATCACGATGCTATGACGGAGCTTTCGTGACGTTAACAACGTATAGAAAAATTTCTCCTGGTAATATTTCTATACCAGTTGAGTAAAACTAATTGGATATGACTATTTTTACGCATATGTTTATATACATATGTATGTGTAGGTGTATGTATGTGTGTATATATATATATACAAATTTGATAAATGAGTCAACAACATATCCCAATAAGAAAGTAGATTTGCGTTCTTCTCGACTTTGATTGAAATTCAATTAAACTAACGTAGAAAATACGAATATCCGGGTGACGAATCCCAATATCCGGATGACAAATCCGTAAGATCCGACTGTCCGAGAGCACGAGGCGCGTCCTTTTCATCGTAATCGGATTACCTCGATATCCGGATACCTGACGAACCTTCTTTTCCCAGCTAATGAATGTGGGGAAAAAGTCACGTGATCTTGGCCAAACAATCTACCAATAGCTATTTCTAATATAAAATTATTGCGTGAAACCTTTGGCTACAATATTGCCTTGAATTGCCTAAATTATGATTTTTTTCAAATAAAACCGTATACTTTATCGATGGTGTTGATCTATTATTACTGCTCGAAATGTTTGCTTCGTTTGAGAAAAATAGACTACAAAGGAGAGATGGAGAGAGAGAGAGAGAGAGAGAGAGGGAGAGAAAAAAAAAGAGAAAAAAATTAAAGAAAGAAAAGCACGTAAAGCGGTTTTGTCGGACATGCAAGCCGCGCAAACAAAGTTTTATGTGGGACACGTGACCGACTCGAAAGGCAATTAGGTAACTGTATAATCCCGACCGCTCATACATTTTTTCTCGGCACGCGAACTCCGAGATCGGAACTCAATGCTTCCTTCTTTCTTTTCTCTTTCTTTTTTTTCTTCTCTGCTTTTTTTTTTTTTGCTTTACTATATAGCGGCACCTCCCTCTTCTCATGCTTCCATTCGTCTTACAAATAAAATCTCTTCTTCGAGATCTCCTCGTTTTATACTTTAAAGCGTACGACTGCTTCAATACCGTTAACTAAAATCATCAGCCTGCTTCGACCCAGTGACCATTCTCTTTCTCTCAACAAGATCTTCGATCCGATCGAGAACGTCTTAGTAGTAGTTGTCGAGTGTGAAAGACGATCGTTTATGTATGCACTATAGATAAAACGCCAAGTTTACGGGACGGTTAAGAAATTTATGATAAATCGATAATTCATAAAATATTTAACAAATTTACTATACTTCAATTTAATCAATTAAATTTTATGCTTTAATTAATTAAAAACTATTCCGATTAAAAAATCTTCGTCGATGTATATTTCATATTAATTAATTTAATTTATGTATTAATATGTATTAAGTTAATTTACGTATGTACGTTATTCACGTCGAAGTATGTTATATCGTTATACATATGTGTATAACAGATTGCTATGGTTAAATGAAAAATTGCAAAAAGTTTGTCAAGTATCCGTGCATATTACTGTCGAGAAAACTATCAATGTATTAACTCAATTTAATATTACCTATATCTATACACACAAAGAGAAATAAAAAAATGGCAGAAGTCATACATATGCATATGCGATGTCCTAGAAAATATGACAAATAAAAAATAATCGAAAAAATTTATATAAGACTCACATATACAACAAACACCAAATCCAAGAGCACATGGTCCATATGATTTTCCGTTTTGAATACGACAATGGTACGTGTTCATGCATATCCCACGTCGTCGTTTATCCGAAGATAAACACTCTTCTTCTACTGGGATAGGAAAAAAGTTGAGAACTAAAAAAAATTAAAAAGTAAACATAAGTAAATGATAAATGAAAGATTACAATAAACAATCATGTTCAACGCATTTCCAAATTCTTTTTATCATATTCAATTAAAAATATTTCAGAAAGATCTTTTCATTTAAATTAAATAAATATTTTTTAATAAATTCATTAGAAAATTCTTATCTAATCTTTCCTATGAACTTACCCCTGGAACGTATTTTTAAATCAAGTATCTCTGCTTGTTTGGTTCCCCAACCGAATAAATCCAACGACCATCCACAAGTGTTTATTGAAAATGACAACAGAAGTCCGCAAACGATTGTGAAAAGTCCTCTGGACTTTCGCATTGCTCCTAATCACAAAAATGATCGTTCTGTTCTTTTATACTCTTATTAATCAATAATGAAATCCGAGAATATCGATCAATCACCGAAAACATCGATACACCTACGACTCTTTCATGAAATTTTAAAGATCGTAGGAACGGACGAAAGACCGGCTGATCAACCGACCGACTGACTGACTGACTGTTGTAAGTCCCGTAGGAACTCCATATAAGACCCCTCTACAATCATCTTTGCTGATACTGTTACAGTCGTTACCCTACTATTCACGTACTTTTCCATTTCTGTGAAGACAGATATATTATATAAGATGAAATATATAATATGCCGAAATTTATTTCTTTGTGAATTTTGTAAATTTTGAATAAAAAAGAAAGACATATTAAATATATTGTAATCAAATTGTAAATCCTTTTGTAAATTATAAGAACAAAATATATTTTTTAATGTAATAAATATATTCAAAGTTAGAAAATCGATAATTAAAATAAATATAACAAATATATAAAATATACATTAATACAATGAAAATTCGATCGACAATTCAAATTAGAATTCGAGCCAGAACAAATTTATATAATAGCCATATTCAGACCAATGGCTTTCGTCAGTGTAGACTCGAATATATAGAACAAACATTTTTTTTCATATATTACTTTATATTACTTCATATTTCGTCTTATATCGAAGTTCATATCATATTTTCATTCGTTATTAGAACTGTTTCGACGATTTATATATATTATTGTTACTAACGAAAGCAAAAAAATTTAATAGTTTATCGAACAAAAAAGTAATCTATGCATTCATCTATTAATTATTAAATTATTAGATTAAAGATCTTTTTAAATTAATGCTACGAATACTATATATTTACATATAATTTCTGTAAATTTTGCATAGAAAAATAAAAAATTAAAATAGCTAACACTGTATTGAGCTTCTTAATTTAAATAAAAAAAATGACGGTTAGAACGTAAAACAAAGGAAGTCGATTTTGAAAGAATATAACAATATGTCTACAATGCAGTAACCAATAACAAAAGACATTCTATTTCAAAGTTACCCGAGAGAGGGCAGTTAATACGAAAATATACTAACCGTTTCTCGAACGTCCTTATACTTTCTCGCTGAAAGCGTCGATCTCATAAATATACCTACGTATAATTATACATATGTGAGCATGCGCATATTTGTATGAATGTGGAATTTTTTTATCAAATAAGATATCAAAGAATATAACTACGAACGAAGAAATTATTAGAAGCTTCTCGAAATCATAGTTTGGTAAGCGAAAATCATTTTCTTTCAATATCATTCCAGGTAAAAAAAGAAAACAATCCAAATTAGTAATATCGACAGGGACGATATGCAGGATCGTCGGACTGGACTGCTGAGAAATAGCTACTCGACTGTAGCTGATGAACTTTTTTTATACTACTGGCCAATGATGCATGAATAGTATACTTAAAGCTGGTGTAATTACGACAGTAGTTTCGATAATCTTAAATTATCTTGTTCCAGTGAAAATATAACCTCACATTTACTAGGATCTATGTGCCTTAAATGCCTTCCAGTGTATCACCTCACACAAAGTGTCACCTCATCTGACACAAAATATAAATTGCGTTCTTTACTATTATAACATATTTGTATAGCCATTATCAATGAAAACCATCTTTTAATTGCATAATTGATTTCTATACTGTTGATATATATTCCTATATCGATGTTCACAGTATTGCTCATCGTATATCGTCAGTGGCATCTTTATGACATCTTTATCTTTTTAAGCATAGATACAGATCTTAAATAAAGATGACATCTTTGTCTTTTTTCTTAAACGTTGTCCACAAGACAACGAAATTTTACTTATATACAATTTGCAAAGTTAGTGAATCTTAACTTTGCATTGCTAGTGACGGTTCTTATGTTATTTACTTAGTTAATTGTTTTGTGGTATTTGTGGTTCCTGAAGAAAGAATACGTTGTTAAATCAAAAGCAAATTGCTTTATCGGTAAGTAACTGGAGTTTTATATAAATACTCCAGTATAGATAATATTCAGAGTCTTACATTTGCAGTATCCTATAAGTCTTTATTTTGTAAGTTTTACAAAGTTGTGTAAAAGAACTTATTGTTTCTAATATTTTATCTCTTCTGTATTCATTTGTATATCACTTTGATACTTTCAGAAAGTGTGTAATGGGTGATCTTTCTATTCGTGGATCAACTATGCAGAATTTTGATGATCTTGATATAGAAGGGCGCAATCCTTCTCATCTTTCAGAAGAAGATAAGGAAAAGGTAATGAAAATCTATTATTGAACCAGTGTTAAAATAATTACAGAATAATAAGTGTAAGTTTTATGATAAATTAATCATAACAATAAACTAATAAAATGAGTAAATAAATTGAAATCTATTACAAGAATTAAATTTACTTGATAACCACATATTTCTAATGTTTTCTTAAATTTGTAAAAGATTTGTGTTTTTGACACGATATTTATCTTCTACAGGAAGAACATGATCGGAAACGTTTAATGCGAAGCAGTGTAACTGCTGAAGATGGCACTCTCAGACCTGTGTATTCCAAAACCGATGATGGTGACATATGGTGTCACATATGTAACATTGCTCTGTTTGGAGCACATAAGTTGATAAGTCATAATTCGTGTAATCGTCATAAAATTAAGTTGGACGAATGGCCATATCCCGTGTTACTATGGTCGAAACGTTCTGATATCGCGAAAGCAACTGCTCCTGTTCAATCGACTGCCATTACGGATGCTTTAGCACCAGGTGAGCCAGTACCACCAGGAATGGAAGATCAATTAACAAGAACGACAACGATCCAAGTGAGTTTAGATCGCCATAGAAGTTCTCCGCTTGTTGGTCTTGAATATTTACTTGAACTTGTGGACAATGATTCCTGCGAACCCAGTTATACTTGTGTTTTGTGTGATAAACGTGGTGATCCACGGACTGTGATGGCTCATATTACCAGTTACAATCATCGGATAACATATTTGAATAGACATTTTCCAACAATATCGCGAGCTATTACAGAATTACCGCGTACTCCTAATTACAAACGTGGAGCCAACGAAATATCAGTGTTAGCAGCAAAAAAAATTGAAGAACGATTTGGAAGACTACAGCCACAATTAGTAGACAAGAATCAATTTGAAAAAAATAAAATGCAATATATCAAAAGGGTATATCAAGACTATCATTTTAGGTAAGTTGGTATATATTTTTAATTCTATGTACCTTAAGTGTATCTTAAATTCTGTTTCTTCTTCACAATATCCCACATTTATACAACATTTAAATAAAACATGTTTTACTTAAATGTAATGTAAAGATGGGATAAGAATCTATAAGTATATTCTGTATTATATTATGTATAAAATTAATAGAAATGCTTCAAAAAAATTGTAACAATTGATTAAAATAAGTTATCTGATATTACCTTACAATCAAAATGGTTGTTTCCTACATACAGGGAAACACCTGAGTTAACATTAATGGAAGTTTACGATGTGAGATGGGTGACAAACTTTGAAGAAAAGATGGCTGAAATTGCTGGTAATAATAGTAATAAGAAAGGTGAGTATACGATATAAAGTTCTTTTATGATTATTAAACTTATTGTATTAATTTATGCTATGATATCAAAACTTAATTTCTGATATTAAGATTCTCAATCACCTGAAGAGAAAACAGATGGAAAATTTAAAAAGGAAGAGAAGAAACAAGAAAAATCATCTCCGAAGAAAACAGAATCTAAACAAGATGTTACAAAATCGTGAGTTGTCTATAACTTCGTAAAATAGGCCAAACATATGGAACAAAGCTACTAATACTATATTGTATCGCATAATTATTGAAAATATTGTATTTTTAAAACATTTTTAGGGTTTTCAAGATACGAATTCTTACCAAGGACAAATTAAATTTACGTAAGCCCAGTGAAAAAAACACGGAAAACTTAAAAAACTCTCCTAAACGCCCATCAGACGAGACGAAATCTTTATCATCACTATCAAGTATATCAAGCAGCCCATCGCCATCGCGTTCAAGATCACGTTCTCCCGTTCGTGATAGAAGAAGTAGTGTATCGGACAAGAGTAGCAAGTATCGTACCAGATCACGATATTCTCGTGATCGTTCGCGTTCGCGTTCACGTTCGCGTTCTCGATCACGATCACGTTCATTGGAACCACTTCGAGAACGCGATAAATGGGACAAGTATCGGGAACAAATTAGACGAGCCGAGGAAACACTCGATCGCGCATTAAAGTTCCATGAAAAAAATCCAGAAAAACATCCTTCTTATCCGGACGAGTGGAAAAAATTCTGGAATAGACGATACAAAGAATTGCAAGCTGAGGGCAAAGACCCGAGCAAACACGATTTCAAACCCGAATGGATTGAATTTTGGAACAAACGAATGCGCGAGATTCATAATGATCAATTACAACAAAGAAAAGAAGAAATCAGAAAACGATTGGAATTATCAGAAGAGAAGCCTCCTGAGAAGTGGATTCCACCTTCAAGTAGACGCGAAAGATCGCCTCCCTCAAAACGTAGCAGACATCGTATTGAGAGTGATGATGAAGTCGAATACGTAGGTACAAAAACAATAAAAACAGATTATTACGATCGTCACGATCCACGAGAAAGAGACTATGTTTATTCTTCCTATTCACGAGGAAAAAGTAATATGTATCGTAGTTATTATTCTCGGATTGCACCACGTACGAGACCTATCCATTACGCGACACCATATCCCGTAAAAGACAAATCACCAAGTCCACCGCAAAAGGAAGAAGTACTCAGCGAAGATTTAGAAGTGGTAGGTTTATTGCGACTTCTGACAGCTCTCGAGGGTCAATTAGGATCTCTAGGCCCTAAAATAGTATCACTTTTATCACGGGCATTAGCTGCTGAAAAAGCAAAGCCCAATTCCGCTGAAGAATTGCTTTACGACGAAGAAGTGAGCGTCCTATTCGAAACAGTTAAAGAGAAACTGAAAGGACAGCTTTTTGCTGGTATGATAGAAAAAATGGCTATCGCGCCAACGAAGACAGCAATACAAAACATAGCGCAATTATTACACAAAGCAACTGAAAGTAAGAAAAAAATGGAAGAGGAAAAGAAGAAAAAACACGAACTTCTCGAAGCAAGTAGAACTAGTAATTTTGTGAGTGGAAGAACTATATATCCTAGACCCATAGAAATGGTTACACCACCAATTAATTCCGAGCCAGTCACTGTTCCTGGCGTCGGAACTGTGGATAAAGTTGCGATAGCTCAACAAATCGCTGCTGCTCTCGTTGCACAAGGTAGATCGAATGTGTCTCAGGAAGAACTAGAAACATTAATTAATGCGGTAGTTGGTATGGCAGAAGCATCGAAACATTCGGACAAGCCTGTCACCACCGCTGATTTTGTGAAAGGTTTGGCAAGTGGTGGTACTGGTGTAACTGCCAGTGTTACAAGTGGTATTACGACTGGAATTACAGGCACCTTTCAAAGTAGTACATCGACATCCACATCAACTTTAGTAACTTCTACATTAACCGATACAGTGGATCAAGTTTCAAGAATGGAAAATTTATCAGACACAGATTTAAAGATGCTTTTACAAAATTTTAAAGACCTAAGTACCCACGAACAGCATGGTCTTATAAATTTCCTTAAAAAGTTAGAAGCTACTGATCTACCCAGGGTAGAAAAATTAAGAGCATTCGTTAATTTAAGCGTTGTAGTACCTTCTAGCATATCGCTATCAAAAAAATCACCTACCCCTGAACTGATTGAAATGTCAACAAGCAAGACGAATAGAAAAACCTCGCCATTCTCTATACGTAAAGGAAATCAAAATCCATCAGATGAAGAAAACAAATGGGTACCTAAATTAGATATGTTTGCTAACGACGATGAGGAAGAACAACAGCAACAAAAGAAAGATGATGATAAATCTAAAGTGAAATTAGAATTATCGGATGATGACGATGATTATACTTTCGAAGACATTTACAAAGCAGCTGATAAAAATGTGAATGAAAGTGAGAAAGCAAAAAAAAGGACACGTGTCTTTTCAAAATCAATTTCGAATTCGCCTCGCTCGTGGTCTAGATCACGTTCGCGTTCGCGTTCACGATCACCAGCAACGAGAACTTCGGATATCACGAAATCTAATGATCCCAATGCGATCCTAAACGAAACTAAACGTTTAATAGCGAATATCATGGGTGATCTTCCTAACAAATATGTACCAAAATCACATATAAACTTCGCTAATGAAAATTCAGAACAAAGATCGTCAGGTCCAAAGATGATAGATCATACTTCATCGGCGATAGCTCCGATGCAAAACTTTTATAATCAAAATTATGATGCACCAACTAATCAGCCACCCCGACCACAAGCTCCACCATTAACTTATCCAAACGTTCCTAATCAACAATTTCCGAATTATCCACCTCAACCGCAAGTTTTTGGTACTAATCAGAATTACATAGACAATGGTTATAATTATCAAGGATATGCTAACATGAGTAATCAAAATCAATATGCTCCATCAACTGTACCACAAAATCAATACTCTCCACAGCAAGGATATGGTGCTGCTACTGGATACGGTGGTCCACCGGGTGGTCATCCATCTGGATATCCTCAACAACAATCATCTCAACAACCGCAACAATCATATGGAACATATGCGCAACAACAACGTTTCTACTAAACACTTCATTGTATAGAATAGTAGCGCGTGTGTCGATAAAAGAATGCCATTAACAAATTTTATACAAATCATCGCTACTCGATTAAGACAGTGTCTTTCTATTCCTAGATGTTTTTGAAAATTCTTTCAATTAACTTGGAATAGAATTATGTCAATCTTTTACAATGTTTTGTGATGAAAATATCGCAAGTTTTAGTTTCAGAAAACAGAATATTATTATCCGTATATTTATGTTAATACGGCCACAGAACTTTTTATTTTCAACAGATTTCCAATTTTGTCCATTGTATAAATATAAAAAGAAAACAATGCGTTTTGCCTGCGTTACTACTTTCCGATGAACACTTCGATTTTTCTCGTTCTTCGTGGTGCCTACATTTAAGATTTTGAAATATTCTCATTATTACATTGTTTTTTTTTCTTATACATGTATCTATTAAAATTATTTTTCTTTTTTTATCGCTTTATTCTGTCTGGAGAAAATCGCGCAAAGACTACTATCGTTTCAATGTGGAAATTGTACAAGAAAAGTGAATATGTATGAATGAATGTGTTTCATATGACTGTGTATGTGCTCGATCGATACATCCTACGTGGTAAAAGAGTAAGTAATAATGCAGTGTGTTATATTGAACTGTGCAAAATATATCTACACATATATATTTTGCAAAATAAACGGTAATTTCAAAATTATTAATTGAAAAATATATATTTCGCACATTAATAATATATATATAAATTATATATATATATATATATATATATATATAAATTATATATATATAAATTATATATATATATAAATTATATATATATATATAAATTATATATATATATAAATTATATATATATTATTACTAATTGCAATATGTTAAAAAAAAGATCTATATATTATATTATCCGATAAGATAAGTCGTCCATTTAAGTTTCATTTTATTTCGATTCTTATTACTACCATTTTTTAGACGTTACAGAGAAAGCAGATAAACATTGTACTGGAGAAATCTGAAAAAATGCTGATGCCATAAAAAAAATAAAAATTAATAAATAAATGAATGTTAACAACGTATCGACATAAACGCAGCAGCGGATAAACAAACGACTTGTAAAAATGTGACATTTAAAATAATTACGAATAATGTTGAAATGGAATTGACCATAATCATATGAAAAGAATGATTGTAAAATGATGAGAAAAATACATAAAAATGAATCGTTTATTTCTGTAGTTTCAATCTTGTACTATTCTCGTTTGTATATAAGTAAACATCGAAAATTTATCTTCATTATCTAGAATAATAATAATTAAAAAAAATGTGCCGTTTAAGCGAAGATAAATGCGCGAACAAAAACGACTATATGTTTCTCGTGCTTTATTGTTACAACAAATAATTCATCGGAATATCAATGTCTGCTAACTACTTAATAATTGCACAATGACTAGGTTCCAAAGATTCCGGCTCGTTCGTGCCTTCCTTTTTTTTAATGAGAGAAAAAGAGATAGAAAGAGAAAAATTAGGCGAGCGCATCGTGAAGAATTAAATAGAAGCACAGGACGCGCAGTTCATCAAATATTTACACTTTTCTTTACAGAGAGCTACAAGAGGACGAAAATGAAAGAACACGAAGAAAAGCGATGACTATTTGGGTACGAGTCCTCTAGTTTTTGGATAAACAGGAGTCGGGATTTGCTGCATCTTCGGAACGCTTCTTGGCCTGATCCTTGCCGATTGTAATCGTGGCTTGGAACGTAATTTTGCATTCGAAGCATCAACATCGATGTCTCCTTCATCTCGAAGAGCCTCTTCGAGCACAGCTTGAATGGTTGGCGCGATAGCTGGTCCGTGATAATCTAATGTTGTTCTAGCTGGCATGTCCAGATCTAAATTCAAAATATTTTCTCCAGCATAACGATATCCACGTCCCATTGCCAGAGCAATTCGAGCATATTCAGAAATTGGTCGACGTGCTCCAGGAACTGACGTAGGACGTTTTATCGTTTCTATGTTCGATGCTTCTGAATTTTTCAAAATCCAACAGTCTTCTTCCTCGTCGAAATGTATCCTCGATAATATCTTATTTTTCTCTTCTTCAGGAATAAAATTTTCAATTATCAAATATTTTAGTTTGAGCTCCTTCATTAATTCATGCTGCGTTTGTTCTAAATCACGTCTGTCTCTGTTAAAGTCATTAGTCACATCATCCAATTCTTGTTTCAATGCTTGCAACTTGGTAAAACATTTCCTCAACTTTCTCGATTTGACGTCTACTTCCTGTTGCAAGGTTGTATATGTTTCTCGTACACCGACCATAGTTAATTCCTCGTCTTCGAGTTTTTGTTGCATCTCGACTTCGCGCTTCTTACGCTCGGCAATTTCTGCTGCCTTTTGTTCCAATGCTCTTTGTTGTTCGTTCGTATGATCTATGATATTCTTCCCACCGCACAACATCTTGCTCTCTAAATCTTTTATTCTCGTAATAAGGTTCTCAGTCTCTTGTTTCTCAGCTCTCAGTTGCTCAGCTATTAATTTTTTATCAACTTCAACGGTCTTATTGTTGTCCTCTCCTTTACTATCCTCTGCATCGGATTCCGAATCTGCGAGATCGTCTTCTCTTTTTTTCTTTGTTTTCCTTTTCTTACGTTGTACCATACTTCTCTGAGCTAATTTCTCTTTCAAACGACCGATTTCTTCCTGATACTGTCTCAAAAGAGCATCCTTAGGATCTTCGTTTATTCGTGGCTTATTCTTAATATTCTTAGCACGATTAGCATAACGCAAAGTTGTAAGCGTTTCATCATAATTGTAACTAGCAGGGCCAATGTTTGCGACCATAATCGTTTTCGAATTTCCCCCTAAAGAATCCTGTAATAATCTGGTGAGTTTGGAATCTCTGTAAGGAACATGAGTAGTTTTCCCATCGACTAATGCCGAAATAACATTACCGAGAGCAGAAAGGCTTAAATTAATTTTACTCGCTTCCTTCAGTCTTTCACCGGATGCACCGGTTTTACTTTGTCTCTCGCTACCAGCGAGATCGACTAGATTCAGACGACCTACTCTAATGCCGCCATTATCACCAATAGATCCCATCTCGATGGTGATCAAAAATATCGCGTGAGAGCGAGAACTGTGCTCGTTCATGTTGGTAGCACCAATCGTCCTATTTTGATTACCTTCATTCATCAAACGTTGAATCTCAGCTGCGCTCTTGCAAACGGCTGTCGATAAATCCTTCACAAAAACACCAGATTCAGGTTTTTCTTTCAACTCGAATCGAAGACTCTGATCACGATGAAGAAGATCACGTATCTCTTCCTGATAAATTTCTAAGTAACTCGCTCTCACGAGATATTGCATGTTCTCCGATCTGCCGATGTGATTGAATATGTGCTCGAAAGATCTTGGAATTATACCACGTTTTTCGTGTTCCATCTTTGAACCTTCCATTGTATAAGTTTTACCTGTCCCAGTCTGACCATAAGCAAAAATGGTACCATTGAAACCGTCCAATACCGAAGAAACCAAAGGTCTCACAGTTTCCTCATAAAGTTCTTGCTGAGTCGAACGCCAATCGTAGACAGCATCGAAGGTAAAGACCTTGACATTGTCCGTGGACGGATCGTCCCGAGGATGGCGGATCTCTACTACTCCTCTTGACGGAATGACGTCGACTACACGAATATAACCTCGTGCAGTTTCCTTCTCGTCCATTGGTCTGCATCTTACAACAACCTGGACGCATTGAGTCGCCACATCTGCCGATCCTGCGCTTGATCTCGAACATTTTTTCTTTGAACTCTTCGACTGATTATCGAGCTTATCCATACTTTCGCAGGAGAGACCAAACACGTGGAGGTGTCGAAAATTTACCTATCAAAGGAACAAAACAAAAAAACATTCCTACGTCAATATAATTAATTATTTGAATTTAATTTGATACAAAGGAATCATTCAATGATAAATGAAATGTCGTTTCTGTTGATCCTTGTCATGATCATGTCCAAAATAAAGTGACGTATGCGTATCATACCATCAATTAAATCATTAAATTTCAACGATATCTTCTTTGTACGGATAATCTTACTTACGTACTTTTACGTGACAATTTTCTTGAAATAAATGACATGCAATGAGAAGTGAAAATAAGAGAAATGAAAAATAAAACCAAAGGACAGGGCTAGTTTCTACGACGACTACATACCTTTTTAGGAAGTTTATTTGTTCTGTCGAGTGAACGGAGAAGCAGGATGTGGTTAAAAAACAGGTTAAACAGAGGAGAGATCGACGATTCTTCGGCTTCGTGTCCGTAGATTATACTTCTCTACAAGGTATCGGTATTGATCCATTGTTTGCCTCTGGAACCCCCTCGCACTGTCAACACGCGACTCGTGTTGTCCTTACGTCTGTTATTACCGACTTTCAGTAGTACAATGACTTAGTGATCATTAATGTTTGAACTTACGCGACGATATCAGCCGTATTGCGATGAAAATATACGACGTAGAATCCTTGGGATGAAACGAAATGAAGGCATGACTCTCTCTGCTTTCAAGTAACACAACAGACAGCGGCAATAGATATATAAAATGGATTAGTAGACTCGTAAATGCCGAGTATGCGCACTAAGGCTTATCTGTCTTATTCGACTTACTAAATCGATATCTTACGCATGCGTAATAATCTCTTTTCTCTAGGCGCGAAAATTTATTCGTTCACTATATGTATATATTTTCAAACTGTTCAACTGTTTTACCGACCAATTTGACAATGTTATTTTCTATGCAACCAATGACAGCTCGTGTAACTTCTTCCCTCTAACGTTTTTAATCGAAACAAATCGAGACAAATCTTAGCTTGAAGACAGACATGTACACGTCAAACGACGTTAAGGAAATGACGTTTAATATCGTGCAGTTATATTCGTGGCATACAAGTCACCTATCTTTCGTAAGCACTAAACCTGTGTTTTACGAAATTGTAATGCGAAACTAAATAAGTTTTTGTGTTACATGTGTAGTTAATTAATTAAATCGATGCGGAAGAATCAGAGATTTATTATATAATTTTACAGACATATACAGAGTTAAGGTAAATAATATGTTCGAAAGCTGGATAAATGTGAAGAAATATAGGGTGCATAGCCTATTGTATGCTTTTTTATTTTATTAACAAAAGTCGGTAAAATAATGGAATGAAAAGATGACAGAAATTTTTCTTTCTTTGTTCGATAATCTTGTCTACATTTTTCTGCGTTAAATATTAAAATAGTTTGTAAAATTATTAATTAACATTTTTCTATATCATATATGTATATAAATACGTGTATATTAAAAAATGACATCTGATTTCATTTCGATTTTATAATTTCAGGGAAAATGAAATTGTGGCTAGTGATCATTCACATAGTGTTAGTTGCTGCAAATATATGGGTCACAGCACATTTCCATGAAGAGCTTCCAGAAGATAATGAATTTGCAGAGTTTGAAGATTTCGAAGAAGATAGACCAAATTCGGCAATTCCTTCTGATCATATAACAGAACATCATAAAGAAGCAGATTTAAATGAAGATTTTGAAGAAGATGATGTTCTTATTGTAGATGGAGACAATGAATTTGATCACTTTCAAGATGAAGAAGAATTTGAGGGGTTAGATGTGACTGGTGGAAATGCAGGTTCTAAAAGTGATGAACCGTCCACACTTACAATTACTAAAGTACCTCTGCATTTGCGTGCAAGATGGGATAGTTTCTGTTTGGAAATATTGATGGTAGCTGGACTTTTAGTATATTGCATAAATTATATTGCAGGACGTGCTAAAAATGCACGTATAGCAGAATGTTGGTTGCAAGAACACAGACAACTCTTGTTAGAAAATTTTACTCTTGTAGGTGATACAGGGAAATTGGTAGAAAATGTATCTGAAAATGGTTTGGTTAAGGAAAGTGAGTCGCAATATACCTTGTATTGTTCGGGTCGAGTTGGCTGTGATTCAATGTTGATAGAACTCAAATTAATTAAAAGACAAGACTTAATTGCAGTATTAGCTCAATTAGTACGCCCACAAAATGATCAAGCACATATAAGAGTAGATCTTGCCAAAGATGAAGTTGATAATTTTGTATTAGCAATTGCCACAAAACGAACTGCAATGCATTTAGCAAGAGATATGGCTGACATTAGTGTTTACTGCCCTGATAAACGACCTGGAGAAAAATATGGACTTCCAGCAGGCTTTTATGTTATGCCAGAAATTGCTGAAACAGCTTCTGTTATTTTAGATACTAGAGTTCTACAAGCTTTTGCCAAATTTGCACCATATATAGATTATATACACATTAGTGATCAATATAGCGGACTTAAACAACAAACGTAAGTACGCAACAAAATAATTCTTGAAATGTAAATAAATAAATTATAAATATATTATTAAACTAATAATTAAATTATTACTAGAGAAACTACTCAATTAACAATGCCTGAAGTAAAAAAAGTATTATTAGTTGGATTAAACATAAGTATAAAAGGACGTACTGCTAGCCCAGAATGTCAAGAGAAACTAAAACTTCTCCTTCAACTTACATTTTACATATTGGATAAATTACGACGTTTCAAGCTATCTAAAGAGGTTTACAATTCTTCTATTTATTTCCTTTATTAAAGTAAAAACTTTATTTGATATACTAACAGTTTATTGACTGTTATATAGGGTAAGAATAAAGCGGATAAAAATCGCCTTAGAGTAGAAGAAGCCTTTTTAAAAACAACGCACGCGGCACGAGCCGAAGCTGCAGCACAGAAACGAGAAGAACGTAGGAGAGCTGAAAAAGAAAGAATTCTCCAAAAAGAAGATCCTGATAAGCAAAGAAAGTGGGAAGAAAAAGAGCAACGTAGATTAGCAAAGAAACGTGCACCAAGAATGAAACAACTTAAAGTAAAAGCTTTGTGACCCAATGCAGATGTCACTGTTGAATGTGACGAAAGTTCTAGACAGCCGTGAGTAAATTGTTAAAATGATTTGCTTAATTAGCATTGTGTTTAAAAACTTTATAACAGCATCTCTCTTCATATTAGACATTCATATGATTCAAAGTTATTATTTTAATTTTGTCAAAAATTCATAAAGAAATACTAATTTTTCTTTTTATGTTATTTATATGTATCAAACATCTTTTATCTTGTTTGCAATAAAAAATAATTTTGAGCTACTTGTTTTTAAAACAATCTAAAGTATGATATATTATCAGTAATATCTTGTCTCGATAACATCTTAGAAATATTCTGAATATAACTAATATGTGAAGTACAATATTAACGATACAGGCAATATAAATATACCTACATGATTTTTTAGCTATGAAAGGCCAGAAAGAAACAAATTCATGTTTATATTTGTCAATTAATAGAAGTATAATATCAACTTATATAGTCATTCGTATATTATATTCTATTCTTCATATATACAATATAGATTGCATTTCTATTTATTTTGTAGATATCAAAAATTAAAGCCAACCAACTTTAATATGATAAATATAGTTTCATTAAACAAATTATGTACAATGATTCCATGCTGAAATCAGTGTTAAAAAAAATTAATATATACAAATTTTAATACAATTCTGTATTAAAATTCTATGCTTTGAATATGCATATTGTTCCCAAAATATGCTTTATTTAATACAGCCAAGTTTTTACTATAAGGCTGAATCTTTATTATAACTAAGAGACTGTTTTCATTGAACCATTTTAGGAAATCATTTCATTAATTCAAAATAAAAGCATATATTATTAATAGAATAAAAGGTGCATGAAAGAGGTGTATGCGTTTTGCCTGAAAAACAAGTACTCTTAAATACAGAAAATATGTAACTTTTTCTACCATCGTGTTATACCATGTTCTAATATACAACTTAAAAAAATTAACTCTGCATTACTTAATATAACATACTTGAAATATCATGCTCCTCCCTTGCTCATTATTTACATATTTGTTATGTTAATAATGTTAGTAATGAATGAATTTTATAAGTATTGTAAATATCGTATATTGTAATTATATAAATAATATGTATGTACATGAAATATATGTCTTTCCAATGGATTTCTACTATCATAGAAAGTTAAAAGATCCTCCCATTGTTAAAAGATGTTTCTAAAAATTACTTTGAATAAACTTGAATCTACTTTTATAATAAAAGCTTAAATAAATCTACAAATTTTTTAAGAGTTTCAGGTTAGCTTGAATTACTGTCTTCGGAAATAAATAATTTTTATCGGATATGAAATCAGTTATAACAATGTTTAAACCATTAGATCCAGATTTATGTTGACTTATCCAATTGAGAATCACTTTTTGACATATCGGCGCCAAATCTGACTGTAAATTTCCACACAGATGCTTCATAACGTATGATACATTAGGAGTTAAGAGACATTGCGATACTAAAGGGATATTGGATGAACGTTTTTGAAGTTTATCGTTTAAAAAATTTACAAGTTGATCAACAAGTACGGTATTTGGCCATGGTGTTGGCCAGAGAGCGCTTGGCCACAAATTCGCATGATTCATCGCGTAAACGTTTCTATAAATGACAAAAACTTGATACCTTTTCAAAGCAAGCCAATACAAAGACATATGATCGAAAGAGGAAAACGTTGGACATAATTTCTCACGAAAAATATCATTTATTATCGCAACGAGACGACGATGATTCATATCCGAAAAATTATAAAAATGTTGAAAATCTAAAATGATAACTTCGTTCGCGTGATGATTTAACCAACGTACAATATCTTCTAATGGCTTGGTAACCTCTGATCCATACAAACCATGAAGAAAATAAATATTGTCATTCCTTGTTTTTGTAGCAACTCGTAAATCCAAATATCTTATTCCACCATTTAATTGTTCTCTTACATTGTTCTTTTGCGTAACAGACCAATTAAAAATGACAGGCTTTGAAACAATAGAACAATAACGACCCAATGCTCTGATGTATGCAGGCTCATCAGGTCCTACCTCATTACGTCGTTCTATCGTATAAGTCATCGTATTGTGCGAACCTGTGAAGAATAACCTTGAAAATGTTACGTGTTTCCCACACAATTCTCATAGCTACGATTTAACTGTATTTTCTTTTTTTATTTAAGGAAGTATATACAAAGAATATGTAATGTATATTCAATATACTATTATTTATTGCGAATTGTGTATCGTGTTTACTATTGTACTTGCTATCGTGATTAATGTCAAACAAGCTATTTTTTGAGAACAAAATTAAAACACGCTTCTTTTCGTAATAAACTGATATGTGTATTAGTCTAAGTAAGACAAATAAAACTTGCTATTTTTCCTAACATGTCAATATATAAAAATGTCAATAATAATATTTAATATATATCAATATTTTAATATGTGTACATATACACACACATACACACACACGCACACATATACAAAATAAAAACAAAATAATGAATAAATGAAAATAATTTTTATCCATGTTATATAAACATAAAAAATATTTGAACTTACCGGGTATAGCGAGATATATAATAGGTAATTTTTTTAATGGTTCCGGAAGTCGCGTCATCCAAAATTCCAAATTATCATTTGAAATAGTTCTAATCGAATATGCTTCAGAATGGCATTGGTGTTCACTTTTAATACCATATTTTTGCTCCATTACTATTTAAAAATACCTGTAGTATAGAAAATATTAAAACAATAACGACAAATTCGTTTTTCACAGAGTTAAGTCTTATACTAACAAAGAGACATAAATATCGATCAAAGTACGTTTTAAATGAGGAATAACACACTGATATCATAACGTAAAGTAACGTACAAATAGTACATTAAATGTATTACATCGTACATCAGATTTATGTTCTCACGGTAATTTTCTAACTTGTATCATTATATTCACCTTCGAACGGATAACTTATGATTGGTTTAAACAGGATCAAAGTGACCAATCATTGTAGGCCTTGGAAAGATTAAAAAAAATGATTTAATATTAATTCAATATTTCGTATAAATATTAAAACAAATTAAATAGATTTTTATCGATTTTATATGTAGAAAATAAGACATTGTTAAAACCATTTTTTATAATAAATATGGAGGACGATAACAACGATTCTAGCGATTTTGTTAGAAATTATTTTTCTTCTTCCGCCAATATGGAAGAACTTCTGACAAATACATTAAAAAAATAATTTATCTTTTCCTCTGAATCTTTGATTTTCTATAATATTAAAAAGTGATTTTCTACACTATTAAAAAGTGATTTTTGAAAAATATATATTAGAGTATAACATAAAAATAACATTGCCATTAATTGAATATATTTTAACAATTATATTGTAGAAAACTGTTCAATAATGTCATATATACGCGGTATGTTTATATAATAGATGATAGTTAAATATATATAATAGAAATGAATTGTTTAATATAAATGTGTATGTGTTATTCTTTTTGTTTACATCAATTTTTTGTATTAGCATCATTAATACCTTCCATTTGAATATTAGTTTTTTCATCTCCAACCAAAAGATTATTATGCATTAAAATCTTATTAAGATTATTATATATATAAAAATCAATTCTTTTTGTTACCAGTTACCGAATGCAAACAAGTAGAATTTATCCATCCGCGCTTGGTAATAAAGGACAGTCGCAGCTCGCGGATATATCCGCACTCGGTGATATAAGACAGTCGTAGCTCGCGGATATATCCGCGTTGAATACAAATGGGTTAAAATAATATTTTTTAATATATAAAATATACAAAATATACAATAAAGCTTATACTAAAGCTTTAGTAACTCTTAATAACTTTTAAAATAATAAAAATCTTATATTATAGAAAATTTCCTATATTCTATTAAATATATACAATTTTTATCCAAATTACATACGATAACCTTTAGTAGAAGAAATCACAGCTGTTGTGATGTGAAATAATTCACTTAATTTATTTATGTGCTCTGAAAAAAAAATATATACTATGTATATACATCATAAATTCTTTGTTATTGTAATCATTCATTTAACATCATGTACACTTTTTTACCTGCATAATACATGTTAGGAGGAAATATAGGCATATCACTAAAATAAGTAATTGTCCTGACTTTTGATAATTCCGATTCAGAAACAAGATTAACTCTCCATGTTGCAGGAATACTAAACGAGAAAAATATTTATAATTTATAAATATAAAAAATATTCAAAGATTATACATACCCTTTATTAAGTTCATTAATAAGAATATTTGGTGCAGGGATAGTCAAAGTATATACTTTGTTTTTACATAAATCTTGTAAAGCTTCTATAGAGAATTCTATAGATGTTATTTCTTTCAGGACATATTCCAATGATGATTGTAAAACATCTGTTGAACAATTTATATGTTTCTGTAAAAGTAGCATAAATTCCAAACAAATATGCATTTGTATCATATTAATCAACTTCTTCCTATGAACATGCAATAAAAAATAATTTACATTAATTATATAATTATGAAAGTAACTATAAGAAATGTTTATAAAGATTTATAATAAAATTACCTATAAAACCTGGAGTCAAATTTTTCTGGTTGCTTTTCAAATTTCTTTTGTATATCATCAAATGTAATAAAGCCCGCATTCATTAAAATATATTTATAATCATTGCTTATTTTTTCAAATCCTATATCAACTAAAGTTTCTAACGGTAAACATCCTACTAGTAAATGTGTAACTGTCTTTTGATGAGATAATTCAGGCAATATTTTTGCAAGTTTTGTATTATTTGTTACATTTAACTGAAATATATACCTTTAATTTAAGAGATATGTTATGTTTACATTGCAATATATAAATACGTATGATATTTTAAAATTCATTAATATATAGTTGAAATATATTTAATACCTGCGGTTGATATTCATTAGTTAAAATTTCTTGAAATATTTTATGCATACATTCCGTCATCTGTGTATACTTTGGAATACCTACAAGATATTATATATTAATACTGATTAAGTTATATCTTGAACTATTTACTTACACATAAGTAACTCCCACATAAGATCAGTAAAATCTATGTTTGGTCTAAAAGATACAGCCTTTATATATTGCTGTAGTTTTATATTATTTTCATTATTTTCAAGGTATATTTCTTCTATTTTATTATAACTAGATTTTCTATAGCTATAATCATTAATAAGTAGAAGATTCATATTTTCTATTATTTTATCTTGATCCTACATTATGATTGGTAAACATACACGAAAATGAATATTATTATCCAAAATTTATATAAGTAGTAAGTAATATATGTATGTATATAGTAACTATTACTGTGTGTAAATATTTATGAAAATACCTTTACACATGGATTTATAAAATCATTTGGATATTGTAATGAATTAGAATTATCGTATGATTTTGCATTCATTTCTTTGTAAGTATCTAATATCGTTAAATATTGATTTAATAATAACAATTGATGCCATAAATTCACCAAAACACTATCATTTCTTCCAGTGATAATTTCAAGGACCTACAGGCGAATATATTTAAATGTTATTTTTTAAAAATGTATGTATAAATATTTCCTTTTTAGTATACATATTTATTATAATAAACTTACTAAATTATTTTTGGATGATCTTGTAGGGGGATCAAATAATATGCTATTTGCCATTATGTTAAGTGTTATGCTCCCTTCAAAACAAGATTCTTCACTTTCTGGTAATTCTAGTGTTTCATGCCTAAACCCAAATAAATGATAGGTAGTCAAAGTAGACACTGATACCTAAAATATAAGAAAATTATATCTTAATAGAAATTCTTATTTTAGAAAGAAAAAGAAACAGAATAAAAGACGTACATCACATGGCTGTGAAAATGATAATTTAAGATGTTTTAATAAAAGTTCAGAACAACTATTTTTAACTATATCGAGTCCTTGTGTTTCACTATTTGTAACTTCTATCGTATTAAGCCAATTTTTCTGCACAATACTACCTAGTATTGCAGTTTTATTATGATCTTTGCCATCACAAAGTATAAATATTGGTATGACATTATCATTATCTAAATACTTAAGACAAGTATTTAATATTGCACTATAAACATAAAGTAATATTCTTATTAATACTTTAGAAGAAACATTAATAATACTGCGTTGCTTAATTGTATAATATAGTTTAAAAAATGCAAATATAAAAACATACTCTTTACTTTACTTATCAAGTATTTATATTATATCCATAGCATGAATAAACGAATTTATATTCAATTATATAGTCATAATAATAATTATTACTATTTGCATTTTTATATTTCAATCTAGTTATTATAATCATTATGAGTGATATGATATATTATAATTCTACGTTACCATGCTTCAAGTCTGCTTAAAGGAATATATGATTCTTCTTCTTGATACCAATATCTTTCTATTATTAAGGTACTATTAATAAATTTATCATCACCAAATGAATATTCTAAAGGATTACCAGTAACTTCTGTATCTGAAATACAATTAAGATGATGTAATCTTATATATTTATATATATAAATAATAATAACATACCATAATCATTTAATTCCGCATCATTAACATCACGATTACAAAGTTTTTTTCCCTAAACAAAAGCATAACAAAAATTATTTCTAATAAATGTGTGTAGTTGCTCTAAAAAAAGAAAACAATTATAATATATATAATGAGTAAAATTCAAGTTATTCTATATTATTTTAGTCACTTTGTTATTATTATTTTAAAGACTTGTAATATTCTAAATCTCACTTTTTTATAAATAATGACATAATCCTTAAACTCAGGAAAAAGTCGTTCAATATATGATAAACGAGCTCTATTAACTATTATCGATGAATCTTTACATAAAATATTTCTTAAACTTTCTATAACACTCATTATTATATATGCAATTAATTGAAGTATCTTTTTTTTTTCAATTATATTGTTTATTGTTTTATTTATAACGGATTTCCAAACAGGATACCAATTTGAATTAGAAATATTTCGTTCCAAAACTAATCATTTCTTTAATAATGGCGAGTATTCATAACGAGTCGTTTAGTTTTATAAATACTGTTACGATTGGTTAAAAAAGAACTCGAAATTTTTTTGAAATCTCAACTTTCTATTAAAATACTTCTGCTTGTGTTGATGTAGATCTATCTTAATAAATTTGGTATGCACGTGTTTTTGTATACAAAAGTGTAGCAATTGTACATATTTTGTAATTATCTATAGTACCAATGTGATTTTAATGATTATTCTTAGAAAATATGATTATTCTATTATAATATAATTATAAAGAAATAAGTATATACAATACAAAAATAACCTATAATATAAAATACATATGTAAATAATATCTTAATAATAATAAGAGAATAAATATAAAAAATATAAGTAAAGATGAATAAACGAAAACTTGACAATGAAACGGATAATAAACCTACGAGAGTTTTATCAAGGTTTAAATCTGATACTGGAGAAATTCTTCCAGGTGGTTTATTGGATTTACCAGTTAATATCACAGTAAATAAACTTCAAGCAATTTGCAATGCTTTACTACAAAATGAAGAACCAGTGCCACTGGCATTCTATGTAAATAATATAGAAATTACAGATACATTGGAAAAAAATATCGAAAAAAATTTTAGCGTTAGTGAAAATGTTCTTGAAATTATATATCAACCTCAAGCAGTTTTTAAAGTTAAAGCTGTAACAAGATGTACCGGATCTTTAGAAGGTAATAAAGATTCCGTTACGTATGATAAAGTTATTAAAATTTTATTTTTATATTATTCAGGACATAAAGAAGCTGTTATATCTGTTGCTTTTTCACCTGATGGAAATTACTTGGCAAGTGGTTCTGGAGATACTA